CAGCTGGGACTTGGGAGGCAGAGAATAGATGGGGGCAGAGCCAGTCAGAGGTGGCATTTACCGGTTCTCCGAACTACTCAAAATTTCCACTACCGGTTCTCCAGAACCAGCCAGAACCTGCTGAAACCCACCTCTGCAATGTACATATAGCTAGGTTCATACCATACACTAAACGAGTGTTTCCCAAAGTTGGCAATGTGTGGAAATCAACTCCCAGAATTCCCCAGCCAGTTGATGTCCACACACCTTAAAGATTGCAAGTTTGAAAAAAAAACACTGTACTAAACCAGACGCACACTCGCAACGTTGCGTATGATCCCAACCAATATGGAGATGACCTTGCTCGGCTTTCAATGATTCTGAAAGAAATCAATGGATGGACTCTGTGGACTTCCACTCCCAGAATTCTCTAGTCAAAGGGGTAGGGAATTCTGGGGATTGAAGTCCACAGCCCACTTGCTGAAAGGAATGGAGAGCTATCTTTGCACAAATGGCACCTTTGGATTTGTGCACAAAAGAGGTTTTTCAGCTGAAACCCTGCACTACAAGGCGGCTTCCTCTTTATGGTTTTGACACATATGTTAACTTGATCTGATCTTGAAGCAGACTCTTCCAGGCGCCTCCATCTGCAAATATTATGAGCCACCTACAGATCTGGGAACCTGCCTCACAAATAAACACAACAGGTTTACTTTCATGTTGACTCACACCCAGCTTTCCCCTTTCGCCATCGCAAACTGGAGAATTCCTTGAGTGACTGGAGAAAGTCGAGAGATTCAAACTGTCCTACTGGTACACTAGAGCAGAGGTCTTCAAACTTGGCAGCTTTAAGATTTGTGGATTTCAACTCCCAGAATTCTCCAGCCAGCATAGCTGCCAAGTTTGAAGACCTCTGCACTACAGCATGGTTACATGACACCTGTCTGGAAACTGGAGAATTACACAATCCTATACAAAAATCAGCAAGTACACAATTGAAGCTTTCAAACATGAGGTCATCTGGGTTCTTTTTTCTTTTTTTTTTTCAACAAGGATTTTCTAAGGTCCTGCAAAAGGACTTCCTGATCTTTTAAATCTGTAATTCTGTAACAGGAATTCTGCAGATGACTCATGCTTTTGGACTCACACAATAAATTGCCAAAGGCATCCACAAGGTACACAAGGAGGGATTGGCGCCTCTACCACCGTGGGTCCTTTCTACAGGTGATCCTCAACTTACAACCAAAATTAGGACTACAGTTTCTGCTGTTAAGCAAGGCAGTTGTTAAGTAAGTCACACCCAGTTTTCCATTGGTTTTTTTTTTTTTTGCCATGGTTGTTAAGCAAATCGCTTCAGCTGTTAAGCAGATCACACAGTTGTGAAGTGAATTTGGCTTCTCCCATTGACCTTGCTGGACAGATACTATCTGATAAGTAACAAAGAGCAATCATATGACACCAGAATGCTGCAAAATATATATACTGGTTAAATGGCTGTATAAATATATATACTGGTTGCCAAGTGCCCAAATTTCGATCACCTGACCAGGGGGACTGCTACAATAGTTGTGTTAGTACTGTCGGAAGTCACTTTTTTTCAATGTGGTAATTTCAGTCACTCAATGAAAGGTTGTAAATCAAGGACTGCCTGTAGCACCTCTGGAATCTGGAAAGACTAGCAAAACGTATTATGGGATAAAGTTTCTCTCCGTAAGTCAACAAAGGACTGCAGACGGCTTTTGGAGTTCAGTCATTTTGCCAACTGGCTTCACTACAATTTAACTTCAGGTTTGCTGGGATTGTGCCACCCCCCCCCCCCCAAACGATATGGTTGAAATTAGATAGGGTTGAAATTGCTTCGAGAGAGTTTTTTAAACCACAACCAGATTTGCATAATACGTGTAATCAAGTCAGGTAAAAAGCCAAGGAGATGGATTCACACAACATATCAAGACTGGCTACCTTGGTTAGAAGTGTTCCCCTCCCTGGTTTAGCATGTGGGAAAAAGCAGCACATTTGGTTATTTGATTGGGGGAGGGGGGAGGGAGGGAGGGGCAAACCCAGAAAAATGGGTTTATTTGGGAAACAGGGGAAGTGTGTAGTGTGAATGTTTCCCTGAGGCTGCCCACTCAAGTGCCCACTCAAGTCAGTCTGTTGCGGCTCCTGAAAGAAGCAACTTTGGAAAAAGGTTTACTGGACCAGTCATGTCTAGGACCCCACTGGCCTCATGCCCAGGAAAGGAAGGGTCTTGAAAAGGAAAAAGCAAAACAAAACACAGGAAAAGAAAAAGTTTGGAAAATAGATATAATAGAGGGATGGTGGCAAAAGAAAGAAAGAGAGGGGGAAGAGGGAAGGGGAGGAGGAAGGTGAAGAAAGGAAGGAAGGAAGGAAGGAAGGAAGGAGGGAGGGGGCAGGGAGGGAGAGAGAAAGAGAGGGAGAAAGAAAGAAAGAAAAGGTAGGGAGAGAGAGAGAAAAAAAGAAAGAAAAAGAAGGAAGGAAGGAAAGAAGGAAAGAAGAGAGAAAGAAAGGGAAAAAGAAAGAAAGAAGGGAAGGAGGGAGAAAGAGAGAGAGAGAGAGAAAGAAGGAAGGAAGGAAAGAAGGGAGAAAGAAAGAAAGAGAAGGAAGGAAGGGAGAGGGAGACAGAAAGGAAGGAAGGAAGAAAAGGAAGGGAGAGAGAGAGAGAGAGAGAAAGAAAGAAAGAAAAGGAAGAAAGGAAGAAACAAAGGAGGGAAGAAAGAAAAAGAAAGAAAGAAAGAAAGAAAAGGACGGGAGAGAGAGAGAAAGAAAGAAAGAGAAGGAAGGAAGGGAGAAAGAAAGGGAGAAAGAAAGAAAAAAGAAAGAAAGAAAGAAAAGGAAGGGAGAGAGAGAAAGAAAGAAAGAGAAGGAAGGAAGGGAGAAAGAAAGGGAAAGAAAGAAGAAAAAAGAAAGAAAAAAGAAAGAAAAAAGAAAGAAAGAAAGAAAAGGAAGGGAGAGAGAGAAAGAAAGAAAGAGAAGGGAGAAAGAAAGGGAGAAAGAAAGAAAAAAGAAAGAAAGAAAGAAAAGGAAGGGAGAGAGAGAAAGAAAGAAAGAGAAGGAAGGAAGGAAGGAAGGAAGGGAGAAAGAAAGAAAGAAAGAAAGAAAGAAAGAAAGAAAGAGGAAAAGGAGGAAGATGGAGGAAAGAAGGAGGGAGGGAGAGTGGGGAGAAAGAAAGAAAGAAAGAAAGAAAGAAAGAAAGAAAGAAAGAAAGAAAGAAAGAAAGAAAGAAAGAAAAGAAAAGAAAAGAAAAGAAAAGAAAAGAAAAGAAGAAAAGAGAGAGGGAGAGAGGGAGAGAGCAGGGTCAAATTCTGGGACGGAAAGCAGCCTTTGTGGGTTGAGGGGCGGCCCTTCCCACCCAAAGGGGCCCGGGGTCTCCCTCCCCGCTAAGCGGTCCAGCCGAGCGCCGCTCCAAACGGTCCTGCCGGCTCCGTCCCACCTGCCGCGGCGCCCGCCTCCTCCCGGATGGCTGAGCCGGACGGCGCGGCGCCCGCCTTCCCTCCCGCCCGCCCGCCCGCCCGCCGGCCTCTGCCCGCTTCTGGCCAGCTGGCAGGGAAGGCAGCGGCGCCCGCAGCCGGAGCCTCCCCGGGGCTGAGCGAGGAGACCCCGCCGGGGCTCCCGGCAAGGCGGAGCGGCCGCAGGAGCCCCCGGCGCCGCCTCTGCCTCCTACCTGCGTGTAGAGGTCGGCCAGCGCCAGCGCCATCGCGGCGGCGGGGAAGGTGCGCGCCCTGCCTGCTCCGCTCTCGCCGGCCGGAGGTGGGGCTCCGCGCCGCCGCCGCCTCCCAGCCGGAGCGCCACGTTTGTCTCCTCGCTGGCCGCCTCCGAGGAGGGAGCTGCCCTCGGGACGCCCGGGAGAAGGAAAGAGGGGAGGGGTCGCCTGGGAATTCAGCCAAGCGAAGCCGGGCAGGGGAGGATACGTAGGTTGGGTGGATGGGCAGATATGGATGTATAGGTAGGTAGGTAGGTAGATAATAGGTAGGGGGAGAGAGACAGACAGACATTGACAGACAGATGATAGAGACATGGATGGAGAGAGATAGAAGGGAGAGAGAGAGACATAGACAGAGATGTAGACAGACATGGATATAGATAGATAGATAGATAGATAGATAGACAGACAGACAGACAGACAATTAGATAGGTAGGTAGGTAGGTAGGTAGGTAGGTAGATAAATAGATAATTGGATAGGTAGGTAGGTAGGTAGGTAGGTAGGTAGGTAGGTAGGTAGGTAGGTAGGTAGATAGATAGATAGATAGATAGATAGATAGATAGATAGATAGATAGATAGATAGATAGATAGATAGATCGATCAGGGGTGAAATTCAGCAGGTTCTGACAGGTTCTGGAGAACCGGTAGTGGAAACTTTGAGTAGTTCGGAGAACTTGTAAATGCCACCTCTGGCTGGACCCCGAGTGGGGTGGGAATGGAGATTTTGCAATATCCTTCCCCAAGGAGTGGGGAGGGAATGGGGATTTTGCAGTATCCTTCCCCTGCCATGCCCACCAAGCCACGCCCACAGAACCGGTAGTAAAAATATTTGGATTTCACCACTGAGATAGACAGACAGACAGGTAGGGTAGGGTGGGTAGGTAGATAATAGGTTAGGTACCTACTTAGGTAGAGACAGAGAGATGTAGACAAGACAGATGATAGACAGACATGAATGTAGACAGACAGATAGATGATAGACAGACATGGATGTAGAGATAGATATGGATGGATGGATGGACGGACAGCGCTGCTGGCTGGGGGATTCTGGGAGTTGAATCCACCCATCTTCAAGCTACCAAGGTTGAGAATGCAGGTATCCAATGCAAGCAATGGCATTTTGGAATGTAGGACTTTTTAAAAGCATCTTTAAAGGATCGATTTTCATAGGGGCAGCCATTTATGGGAGCCAAGGCACATTGAGATGAGTTAATGGATAGGATACCAAAATGCCTTCCGTGATTGCTGAATTTCATCCCTCCAACGATAACCTTTCATACAAGAGACTGAAAAATAAAAGACTTTTTAGTGTTTCCTTTTATTTGGACATTTCTTCTAAAGATACAGCATTTATGAAGCATACATTTATTAATTATGTCAGACACCATGACAATTCCAAGCTTAAATCATTCAGATTAACATTTTGGTTTCTATCTACGCCTAAGTGGGTAAAAGACCTCAAACCCTGTTGTTTTTGCTTCAAAAGGAATTGCAAGTTTAAAAGGACAATGATCAAGCGATTACAAAAGAAAATCAACAGTTGAAATGCGTCCAGTTTTGAAACTCTCAAAAGGGAAAAAAAAAAGATACAGCAGGTTGAGACAGCAAACTAACTGAAGAGTGTGCTTTGAGAAAAAAACCCACATTATTTGGGATCAAGAATACTCTGTATCCGTATGTACACCTGAAATTATTGTCTATTTTGCTAAAATCTGCTGTGGGTGAGATTGGATGTTGTGGGACAACCTGCCCCACCAAAGCTGACCTCTTTGTATCAGCAGGAAAGACCTATTATGAATAGTGTAAATTTATTGTGACCGATGTCTGATGCACAAAGCTTTGTACACATGGAAACAGACAAATCAATGCCCCCAGCCCTCTTGGGATATTCTGGGGGTGGGCACTGAAAACAAATAGGTCCAGCACAAACAAGCAAGCAAAAAGCTGTATGATCAAAGCAAGCGTGTTTTGAATACAGTGCATTTAATCCTTACTTGCAATTTTCTTGGGGGGCTTTAAAAAGATGCCCAGGATTGCAACACTCTGTAAAACAAAAATTGTTCCAGACTAAGCGAAAAACATTCTTCCAATTGCAAAATGACAATTGTAGGAGCAGTTGGAAGAAAAGCAAAAACTATCTGAAACCTAATGAGGTAATATTGGAGGAATATTTTGGGTCTATACATTTCAAAAGCACACTTGGGGGAAGGACGGAAAATTATAGCATATCAGTTAAAAGTAAAAGAGATGGCAACACTTTCACATTAAAACAACATGATCATGTTTTAAAGGGAGGGCAAAAATAAGCAAAACTCGAATTGTTTTAGATGCTACAAATTCTAACTTGAAAACAGCTGGTTTTCTAGCATGTAACAGTAAAATATTAGACCCATAAAAAGTGCACGTAAAATACTGATATGTAAAGTGTTGGATGAATTACAGAGCACAGTTAAACTCGGAACTCCTTTAAAACATGGAAAGCAGCATTCGGTTTTAATGTGACAGAAAGATATATTTAATCAGATTACACAGTCGGAGGATAATGCCAACAGGCATCCATCACTCTTATTAGTAAACAAGATACAATAAGGCTTTTATACAAACAAAACGAAAAATTAAAAACCATATATCTAAACGATATCATCATCGCTTTTGGAATTGTCAAATTCTTGAAAAAAACAATTATTCAGTTGAAATGAAAAGGCAGGATTCCAGTACTTCTAGAGGTTCAGTAGAAAGATACCCTGGAGGGAAAATTAATTGGGCTGCTAGATTTTAAAAGTAGTGCTGTCCCCTTACATAATTTCTGTTACAGCCTTTTCATTATGCAGCAGGGATGTCCAACCTTGGCAATTTTAAGGCCTGTGGACTTCCAACTCCCAGAATTCCCCATGCAGCATGACTGGCTGGAGAATTCTGGGAGTTGAAGTCCACAAGTCTTAAAGCTGCCAAGATCTGGACGTGTCTGTTGCACAGTATGCTAAGAATCCAGTGAGAGTTGAGAAGTTAAGTGTATTTTGCCATCTGAGTAGCCATCTAAGATTCTGAACAGGAACTCTCATAATCCACAACTAGTGTGGCAAATCTCGTTGGGAGCGTGAGTGTAAAATTTTGGGGGGGGAATAACCACCCCCCCAGGCCAATTGCCGATGCCAAATGGTGTCACCAGTTCAGCAAAGCAGATTCAGAGTCTCTGAAACGTTATTTGATGCTCCATTATTGTCCTAAAGTTGACTAGTTAAAACTCTATTCTTTTGCATTTTCGCCTTCTCCAAGAAGGGTGTTTTAGACACCTATTGTTTGACTGCACAGCACACACCCACAGAGAAACTGACCACACAACAAACAGGAAATTGACTAATTTACACCTGTGGCTGGGAGATTATGAGAATAAAGTCCAGATCATGTAGGAAGCCATTAAGGTGGAAATGGCCACTCTAGGACCTCAACTTTCAGCTCCTTTGTGGTATCAAGCCCCAACTGGCTAGAGCCACAGAGGAAGTGTACCTTTTAATAGAGCATTTTAAAGTAATCCTAGGAGGGACATACTCTCTTAGTCACTTTTGTAAACATAGTGCCAGTTATAAAAGAAAATGCACATTTTCAAGTAAAGACCTATTAATGTATCATAAATAAAGAACATGTATTAAAGGCAATACTTGAGTACCTGAATATTTCTTTTTTTTAAAAAAAAAATCAAAGAGCATTTGCTTCCCTTCCCACAATAAAACAAAACAAAAAGAATGGGGAGGGCCCCAAAAATCAGGCCTCTTTTATTTACCTCAACAGTGTCCCTGTCAATCACATCTCTTTCGCACATGAAAATCTATTTAAACCTGTTTCAAGTGACAGCATCTTTTAGGTGCACAGAGAAATTAAGTCCAGTACTAGACCGTTTTAATAATGTGCATTTACAGCAGAGATATGTTTGGTAATAAACATAATTCAATTGTTAGGATAAATTAAAATATTGCGCATGGCAGGCTTGGGATATGTAATATCGTCTTTTGTATTTCTGATCATCACTGACCGTACCTGGTTTTTTAATTTATTATTATTATTATTTTAAGGGAGCCTGGAGAACTTTTAAGTGAAGGTCCACAAATATTTCAAAATGTCAGTTTCACACTGGAGAAAATCATGACAACTATTGTATCTGCAGCCTGAGAGTTTTCAGCAAAATCTTTTCATCAGATTATATTCATAATGTGTCCAAATGAAATGTTCCCATGGAAACAAAACATGAATATTTCCTTTTTATTTATTTTTTTAATAAAATGGGTCCAAATCAGGGATAGCATTACATTTTGAAAAAAATGAATGTGGAGCAAGCTTTTAAGAAAATCCTAAAATTGGGAGTGGTGCTAATGGTAGGGGAATAGCTTCTTTTCCAGGATTAAATGTTTGAGGTGTATTTTAGATGAACCCTTTCCCTATTAAAAAAACCTCTTCCCCAACCTCCAAAATAAATATTACACACTCTCATTACACATCCGGCAAATAAAAAAATGAAAAGCAACATATACCAAAACAATAAATAAATATAAAATATAATATTGTTGGGTTGGTTCTTTTGACTTTAGAAAATGGGTTCTAGTTTCTGAGATTGTGCTTAAATTATCGTTTCCAGTTCTTGACACTGGCATAAATCTTATTAAAAGACCGGACTATTAAAGTTACAGTGATTTTATAAACCTGCATTTCTGCTCCTTTAAAAATTATTGTACATTTAAAAGAACACCACAGACTGCGACAATTGTGATATGGTTTGAAAACAGTACTAATAAGCAGCTCTATTGTACCAGAATATAAATCAAAATATTTTTCATTAATTCGCCATTTATGGCACACACTGACGTAAATAGGGAGGCAATCAACTGATTTGATCAATTATCTTTCAGGTTGAAACCTATTAAAACAAAAACTTATTTAACCTTGTCCTAATGAATGGTGCTTTCTAAGAGTATGACTATTTCTATTTATTTCAATGGTTTTTATGGTTTGTACAGGCAAAATGCCTGATGAGTGATACTGTATGTTGCCCGTCTCTTGTTAAATTTTCAGGTCTTTGAAATATATATATTTATATATGTATATATGTGTCTGTGTTTATATACACATACACAGAAGCTACCCCTAAATATTTCCATCCTTCTCTGAAAATCGCACCTGGTTTTAGCTCCTGGCTGGTCCCCGATAACTGGCAAATCACTTGTGACTTTAATATGCTGAAATGTCTTACAAGGAGCTTTAACAAATCCTCAGCTTTAGCTTCCTGACCAACACGAGAATCAGGAACACATTATGGATTGGAGGTAACACACTCACTACCATCGCACTGGAATGACACCGTTCCACTCAGTGGAGACACAGAAACAATCTGGTGACTGTTTTCTACCAAAAAAAAAAAAAATAAAAAAAAAATTAATAATAAGTGTACGTGTGAAATATGGAATACAGGAAGGGGTTCTCAGAGCCGTTAAAATGGAAAATACTCCTCTTCACACTCTTTTCTTTTTTGCCACCAGATGCACATTATAATTTTTTTTTTTTTTTTAATTTTAACGTGGAAAGGAAAAAAAGAAAACCCATCGTGATTTCTTAGTCACAGATTGTTTTTGGTTTACAATGCAAATATAAGACAGCTTGCAACCAACTGGGGGTGGGAGAAACATTAAGGTGTGTACTGATGTTTTTTCTTAACCTGAAAAGCTTTAGGTAGGCCTCAGCACGGGACGAGTGAATTTGTACAAATGCGCAAATGCGTTTCTATCAGCTTCCGGTGGTGAGAGAATGGTGACGCATTCCGGTTTTCGGCAATGCGGTTTTACAGCATCTACACGATTCCCTTCCAGTCTTTTTCCCTCTATTCCTTCCCAAACCCCCCCCATGGCTTTTGACTCTTATTTATTTTCATCGTTAAAGAGATTGTAAATAGAAACTGATGGTCGACAGCTTAACTCTGGTTCTCGGTTCAGACCCGAGTGATGAATCCTAGGCCCAAACTCGCTGGGATCTGGATAGTTTCTAATGCGAGAGAGGAAGGGTTGAACGGGAAAGTGACCGGGAAGATATGCTTAGCATCCATTAGGAGTTGAGGAGAATCCTTCCTGTCTCGCATGCGCAGCTGCAAAGAGAATAAATGACCTTGTTAGCGTCTTATTTAAAGGCAGGTAGTCCTCGACTTACAACAGTTTTCTTAGTGACTGTTCGAAGTTACGATGGCACTGAAAAAAAGTGAGTTATGACCTTTCTTCTCACTTATGACCGTTGCAACATCCCCATGGTCATGTGATCAAAATTCGGATGCTTGGCCACTGGCTCATATTTATGACGGCTGCAGTGTCCTGGGGTCACGTGACCCCCTTTTGCGACCGTCTGACAAGCCAAGTCAATGGGGAAGCCAGATTCACTTAACAACCGCCTCACTAATTTAAAGAACCGCAGTCATTCACGTCACAACGGAGGCAAGGAAGGTCATAAAATGGGCCAAAATTCACTTAGCCAAGGTCTCACTTAGCAACGGAAATCTGGGGCTCAATTGGGGTTCCAGATTGTGGGGGCAATAAGCTGACTTTGTATAAATATACAAAAGTATGAAGGCTATTGCTTAATGCATTGTAAGCCGCCCTGAGTCTCCGGAGAAGGACAGCATATAAATTAAAGCAAAAAAAAAAAAAGAGCTGGCTGAGGAATTCTGGGAATTGAAGTCCACAAGTCTGAAAGTTGCCAAGGTTGGAGACCCCTGCATTAGAGCTTATTTTCCAGTTAGGTCTTATTTTCAGGGAAATAGGGAACGAAAATTTGTCCGTCTGGCTGATGATCTTAACTGAGGCCTATTTTGGGGGCAGGGCATATATTATGAGTATCCTGAAAAATCATGTTAAGGCTTATTTTCCTGCTGGGTCTTCTTTTCGGGGAAACAGGGTAATATCAGAAGATGCAATCTGTGAGAAGAGACAAAAAAATTTTTACCTGTATTGTCCGGATAAAAGACACAGACACTCTTTCTTCAAACTCATTAACGGGAGTATATAAATTCAACACTTTCACAATCTAAAAGGAAAAAAGAAGAAGATTAACAGAAGATAAACGGATTACTGCTATTTACCCCCAACAAATGTTTTAAAACTTAAGTCACGGGAGACATTAATCATGGCGTGATTGCAATAGGAGCGCTCTTAACTAAGATGAAATCTATATTCAGCCTGAAATCTTAAATCACTTTGTAGGAATTAAAAAAAAAATAATACCAGGGGTGGTATTCACTTTGCCACCGGTTCACAAATGTGAGTGCATGTGCCACCTCCACGCATGCGTAGGACCTTCTGCGCATGTGTAGAGGTCAGAAATGGGACGTTATGATGTCCGGGCGAGTGGGTGGAGCCTCCCGCAGCTGCCACTATCGATTCGCCCGAACCGGATGGAACCAGCTGAATCCCACCACTGGGTCTATCCTGTTTCAGTGGATAGCAACATTGGAACACAAGTGGTCAAAATTATACTAAATAGACATCAATTCCGAAGGATTAAAAAAGAAATCCTTCCCTCTAAAAGAACCAAGAGCGTCTTTCTGTTCTTTTCCTTGAAATAAATCCTGGAAACAAAACGGAGATTGTTGTTTTTTAATGTCTCTCTCTTCAATGTCATCTATATTTGGCAGAGCTGTTTGCAAAACTTCTTCCTTTTCAATCGTTTGCATTTTTGTACCTGACTAGGTGGCTCACTGGTTAAGACGCTGAGCTTGTCTATCAGAAAGGTCAGGAGTTCGAATCCCTAGTACAGGGGGTTGGACTAGATGATCTCCAAAGTCCTTTCCAACTCTGTTACTGTTATACTGTTATATGGCTCACCCTGCTGAGCTGAGCAAGCAGTAAACGCTAATTCCACCAGAAAAGCAAAAGGGCAGAGGGAAGTGAAATGTGCAGTCAACTCAGCCAGGATGGTGTAACAGAATAATACAGTTGGGAGGGACCTTGGAGGTCTTGTAGTCCAACCTCCTGCTCAAGCAAGAAAGTCTAAATTAGAAGTGTCAAACTCAAGGCTGGGGGCTGGATCCGGCCCGCGGGGTGCTTAGATCTAGCCCTGGAAACAGCAAAGGACTGGCCTGCAGTGCCTCTGATAGTGAAAACGGAGCTTGGGAGGACTACGTGCGACTCTCCCGAGCTCTGTTTTTACTGGCAGAGGATTGCAGAAGGCCGAAACAGAGCTCGGGAGCCCGTTTTTGCTGGCAGAGTGCTTGGCCCACAATAGGGCCCCCTGACACGAGTGACGTCGAGCTGGCCACACCCACCTTGGCTATGCTTAGCCTGCTCCCCCCCACCCCCGCGAGATCAAACATAACCTTGATGTGACCCTCAATGAAATCGAGTTTGACACCCCTGCTCTAAACCATTTCAGATAAATGGTTATCCATTTAAGAAGAGAATAAATCTCTTCTTAAAAACCTCCACTATTGGATCACCCATAACTTCTAGAGGCAAGTCGTTCCACTGATTAATTTGTTCTGCCAGGAAATTTCTCCTCAGTTCTAGGTTGCTTCTCTCCTTGATTAGTTTCCACCCATTGCTTCTTGTCCTGCCCTCAGGTGCTTTGGAGAATAGCTTGACTCCCTCTTCTTTGGGGCAGCCCCTGAGATACTGGAACACTGCTATCATGTCTCCCCTAGTCCTTCTTTTCATTAAACTAGACAAACCCAGTTCCTGCAACCGTTCTTCCTATGTTTTAGCCTCCAGTCCCCTCATCCTCTTTCTTGCTCTTGTCCCAGAAGAGGGTTACCTGTGCAGTAGTCAATGCGTGGCACATGGAGCAGATGGCCCCTGCGTCCTCATCGGTCTTCTTTTTCACTTGTAGCAGCTGAGCAGCCTGGATCAAGGGCTCCAGGGTTTCCTTGGCACCGCTGGTCATCAGGTTCTTGTCACGAAGCCATTCTTCCAGCTGGCTTACATTGTACCTATGGGTTTGATGTGTTTTTGGGGGGGGAAAAAAAAATCAAAATCTTTAACAACTTTTTAAAGTCAGCCTGCCTAAGTGGAAATGGTTTTTTTTTTAAAAAAGCATGCTTGCTCAGTCGCCCTTCAAGAGGTACTCGGTTAATTATTAACAAAAATGTTTGTTAACGAGGGAAACAGAAGCTCTTTGTGGTGGACAAGAATGCTCAGAATACCTTTAGAAGACTAAACACGGAATGAAAATTCCCTAATTCCTACTTTTTCTGGTGTGAAATTTGATAGAGGGAATTTTTTTCCCATCGATTTGAGTTCTTTTATAGTTAGCGGGGGAAACTATAAACTATAGTTAGCGGGGGTTTGATTCAGACAAAAAAAAAATACTAGTCTGTTTAGCAATTCTAATTTTTAAATAGGCTAGTCCACGGGTCTGCAACCTTAAACACTCAAAGGGCCATTTGGACCCGTTTCCCACAGAAAAGAAAACACCGGGAGCCACAAAACCCTTCCCGTGCCTGACTATTTCTTGAGCGGCCACAAAACTAGCATATGTAGTTGAATTAAAAGTTCTGTTTCCTTCTGAAACTTTTCTTTTCTTGGATTTATCCAGGGTTGGCCTACTGGGGGTTGAAAAGCTCAATAAATCCCATGCCAGCGGGTGTTGCACATTGGCGGTTGTGACACATATTTTGAGTGACAGGAAGCCACAGCAGAGAGGTGAAAGAGCCACAAGCGGCTCCAGAGCCACAGGTTGCTGATCCCTGGGCTAGTCAATAGACTATTTGTGTGCTTTCCCTGCCATCTCTATCCTTTGTTTTATGGGGTTTTTTTCTCATTTCTAACAATTTGTAAGTCACCAAGAACAGCCAAGAATCAGGCAGCGTTTAAATGTAATCAATGATTGTTGTTGTTATTTACTAAGTCTGCACTACTATTAATCTTCTCATCGTTCCTATCACCCATCTCCTTCCACTTATGACTGCATGACTGTAACCTTGTTGCTGGTATCTTTACGATTTATATTGACTGTTTCCTAATATGATTTGATTGCTTATTTGTTCCCTATGACTATCATTAAGTGTTGTACTTTGTGATTCTTGACGAATGTATCTTTTCTTTTATGTACACTGAGAAATTCCTTGTGTGTCCAATCACACTTGGCCAATAAAGAATTCTATTCTATTCTATTCTATTCTATTCTATTCTATTCTATTCTATTCTATTCTATTCTATTCTATTCTATTCTATTCTATTCTATTCTATTCTTCAGCATATGAAAAGAAAGTTATTTGGCAGGATATCCCATTTAGAGCGTAACGTTAGAGTTCAAACTACAGGCAGCCTTTGCTTACTGACTGCCCTGTTTAGTGATTGTTCATCTGAGGGATGCTTTCGGAAATACTCATTCATTCATTCCGCATAGAAATATGGAGGCCAACCTTCACAACTAGAGACCTGCCTGCTTTGATAAACAGATGTTCCAGACCTTTGGGTTAAGAACACGAAACGATCAGCTGACTCGAAATAACTCCCTGCTCAGCCAAGAAATGTGTCTCAAAGGACTTAAAATTCCGAAAGAGGACTCCCACCTTATCTGCATTCCTTTGCTCCAGGAGCACATGTCCTTTCGCAGCAGAAGGTTGTTGAGGGTCACGGCCCCAATGATGTAGAACATCTGTTTGACCACTTGCTTGATCAGCTCAGGATCCATGCCGTGCTGGCACATGATGGAGTGGAAGGTGTTCAGCTGACGGATGATGGAATCCAAGGTGTAGGTCCCTTCGTCGGCGATGCTCGAGGTTCTCTTGCGCAGGCCGGTGGGTTTCACCCCGGACACACCTTGGATGGTTTCGTGCTCCAGCATTCCTGAAACTGAGGAAAGGGGGTCATAAATTCAGCTGAGGAATAACACTTTCTGAAAACAAACAAACAAACAAACAAAAAACACAAGAGAAACAGGGATAAATGGTGATGGCGTTTTGAAAATAAGGAGGTAAGAACACCATTGACGAGAAAACAACTGTGGCACAGGAACATAACCCAAACTAAAATGAAAGCAAACATACTAAGCAAATAAAGAATCTCCTGAAACAGGCAAGTCTTCACCAATCCAAATGATGAAAATGACTTTCTTAATTACGTAGGGGGAAAGAAATCCACTGGACATTCTCTCATGTCCTTCGGTTTTGCCTTACCAATCATTGGCTGCAAAATATTCTCTAGCACTCGAACGAGTTGCTGGTAAATTTGGATGGCCAAGTCGCTTAATACTTGTCTGTACTCGGCAAGGTCAAAATTAGTCAGGCAATGTTCGTTCTGACGAGACGTGTTATGTTTCATAAATCCCTGCAGGCAGAGGAAAAAAAAATAGCCAAGTTTGTATTAATGTGTTTTATGCTGTCGTATTCAAACAGGCAAGGAGGATAACGACTTTTCAAAAAATCCTTTTAATGAAGAATAGTAGGGTTAACTTTCTTTAAGCCTATTGGAGGAATGAGAGTCACTCCCACTTCAAACCTTCGAAGCGCGTTCACCGACGGAAATAAACCAAAAGGGAGAACTTACTTCTTCACCGCTATACTGCTTCAAACAGTGCAAAAATCGGCATGTGTTCGACAGCCAGAAGGAGACCGTTTCAAAGTCGTCACCTCTTTTCTAAAAGCAAAAATACGGAACAGTAATAATGAAAAGGGCGGAAACTTAATCAAGGAGAGAAGCAACCTAGAACTAAGGAGAAATTTCCTGACAGTGAGAACAATTAACCAGTGGAACAACTTCCCTTCAGGAGTTGTGAATGCTCCAACACTGGAAGTTTTTAAGAAGATGTTGGATAACCATTTATCTGAAATGGTGTAGGGTTTCCTGCCTAAGCAGGGGGTTGGACTAGAAGACCTCCAAGGTCCCTTCCAACTCTGTCATTCTATTCTATTCTATTCTATTCTATTCTATTCTATTCTATTCTATTCCATTCCATTCCATTCCATTCCATTCCATTCCATTCCATTCCATTCCCATTCTATTTGCAATGTGCACTAAAGGAAGTTCAAAATGCAAAATTATTGAAAACGGAACATTTCTTTCGCGAAATCAAAAGTTACAGCACTTCTACATAGCATTAGATTCTAGATAGGATTCTGCGTGCCTCTCTTTGACTATCTATAGAGATTCTCAGTCATCCAGGTCATGGTTGTCCCAAAGATGCTTTTTTAAAAAAGGCAACTGGATTTTTGTTTTGCCTCGAAGACGTTTCGCTTCTCATCCAACAAGTTTCAATCAGAATTGAAGAAGCTTCTTGGATGAGAGGCGAAACGTCTTCGAGGCAAAACAAAAGTCCAGTTGCCTTTTTTTTTAAAAAAAAAAACACCTTTGTGGAGACTCTCTTTGAATCAATTTCTGCGTCACGGAATCTGGGTCACAAATGGAGATGGGGCTAGATCAAGGGGTGAAATCCAGCAGGTTCTGACAAGTTCTGGAGAACCGATAGTGGAAATTTTGAGTAGTTCGGAGAACCGGCAAATACCACCTCTGGCTGGCCCCGGAGTGGGGTGGGAATATCCTTCCCCTGGAGTGGGGAGGGAATGGAGATTTTACAGTATCTTTCCCCCGGAGTGGGGAGGGAATGGAGATTTTGCAATATCCTTCCTCAGCCACGCCCACCAAGTCACACCACGCCCACCAAGCCACGCCCACAGAACCGGTAGAAAAAAAAATTGGATTTCACCACTGGGCTAGTTGTCCTTTATTATTCTAACAGAAAAATACTTTAGATGCCTGTCGCATTTTCATGACAGAGTAGGTATGATACAGAGCTCATCAACAGTATTTTTTATTCAACTCCGGACTGACATTTCAATTGAAACCGTAAACTGACCTTCAAAATTTTTTTGATGCCGTTAATTGTAGAAGTCAACAAGGACCTCACTTTTTGATCATCGTTAAGGTAGTCGGCATGGCGGACACACATGAACAAAATGTAAGCTGGCAGCCCTGGGATGAGATTTACTGCCACTCCACGAGGCTTCAGGTCTGAGAGAGAAAGAAGTCACAAAGAGGAACACAGGGATTTATAGACTGTTGTATTTAAAAGCAAAGGTTTCCCCTGTCCCAGTTGTGTCTGACCCTAAGGGGCAGCGCTCATCTCTGTTTCTTAGCCAAAGAGCCAGCATTGTCCGAAGACATTTCTGTGGTCATCTGGCCAGCCAAAGGCGCACGGAACACTGTTACCTTCCCACCAAAAGTGGTACCTATTTATCTACTCGCATTTGCAGGCTTTCAAACTGCCAGGTGGGGAGGAGCTGGAGGAAGGGACGGGACCTCAACCCTTTGCACGGCACTTGGGTCTCGAACCGAAGCTCTGAGCCATTGCACCCCCTATATATTGAATCAGTGTATTTAAAATGCCTTAATAAAACGGCAAAGAGCCAGAAGTGGTTTAAGGCAACTAGGAGAATATGAGTTCTTGTCCTGCCGTAGGCGAGAAGCCAACTGCGGCACTCAGCCAGTGCCTCTTAGCCCTAAGAGGGAAGCAATGGCAACCCACTTCTGAAAAAGCTGCCAAGAACTTGTCCAAGCAGTCTCAAGGAATCAAGATTGACTCAAAGGCAATTTTTTTTTTTTTAAAAAAAGTATTTTCAAGTAATAATACTTCTCTGTTCTTTTTAAATGGATGCTATTGATTCTATTCCAAGTTTGTTTTCCATTGTGCAGTCGCCAACTTTTTAAAAAATTATCTGGGCTTATTATAGAACAGAAGAGCGTAAAGCTACTGAAGGAGAAAAGGGAACCTGCTGTGCAGTAGACTAACAATTACATTGTACATAATGGAAAAAAGCGACATATGTTTGCAAAACCACCACACGGTGCATTTTATAAGCAGAAAGACCTCTCACCTAAAATAAGATTCTTAACGAGTTTGGGTTCATCCTCTTTCTTGTATTCCAACATTCCTTGGAAGTCTTTTTCCTTCCTTGGAATATTCACAGGATGTATGGGCTCATCAATGATTTGTCCAGGTGAAATGTTCTCCATCTGGCCCACTAAATCAAGGAAAAGAAGAGGGAACAGGAGGTGAACAAAAGATTTGATCCAGAAAGATGGCACTGACTGAACTGTGGAGTTTTCTTCCTGAAAGTTAATGAATTAGTTACAATCCATTAGGAGGTTTGCTTGTTGCTGAGAAAGTACATGTTGTTTATGAACCACCTGTAAAGCTCTACAACAGGTGTGTGCAAATTTGGCAACTTTTTAAGACCATTGACTTCAACTCCCAGAATTCCGCAGACAGAAATTCTGGGGAATTCTGGGAGCTGAAGTCCGCAGGAGGGAGGGAGGGAGGAAGGAAAAGAAAGAAAGAAGGAAGGAAGGAAGGAAGGAAGGAAGGAAGGAAGGAAGGAAGGAACAAAGGAACGAAAGAAGGAACGAAGGAAGGGAGGGAGGGAGGGAGGGAGGAAGGAAGGAAGGGGAAAGGAAGGAAGGAAGGAAGGAAGGAAGGAAGGAAGGAAGGAAGGAAGGAAGGAAGGCAGGCAGGCAGGCAGGCTTGGCTATGGATCTATAAAACCCTCTTAAGGAAATCTTGGAAACAATCATTTTGTTAAAAAAAAAAAGTGCTAAAGGAATGCCCTCACCAGGCGAGCTAAAATCAGAAATATGCTCTGGAATGCTGATCAGCCAGAAACTTAACCTGGCTTTGTGTCAGTCTAGGACAATAAATATAACACACAGCAACTGGAAAAACCGCTAAGGTTAACCGGCAGCAGATCAGTAACAGAAAGCTTCTTGAATCCGGAGTTTCTACATAGCTCTGACATTTTCCTGGTCTGCCCGCATACCTTGTTGAATTCAGGAACTCAGGAGCTGAAACGCACTTGCACAGCCAACACAGCAGACTATATTTAGCGTGGCAAAGGGAAGGCAATGATTTGTTCTCGGCCACTCCTTTAATGTAATCTTTAAGAGAGCATTTTCCCCCCCTCAGGTGTGTGGTTGGGAAAATGCCTTACAAAGGGCGAAATACAATCAGGTGAAGAATGCAGACTGGGTTGTGAAGCAAACCACGAGCATTAAACTTGGGAACAGTTTAATGAGATTGCCTTAGATGGCAAAACACGGCATCTGATCTTCTACGAAGATGGATTAGTTGGGAAAGCATCATTTTCTCTTGCGCCAGTATTTATTAGATTTAGTTTTATTTATTTTTTTATTTAGTGAGTTTGTTTGCTGCCCATCTTGCCATGAGATGGTTTGCTCCCCACTCCCTTCTAGCACTGATGATGTTACCTACTTGGGTAATGAAACATCTCCAAGAAAATAACCAAGGTCGGAGAGCACCGAGGTTCTCACAGCTTAACCCTGAGCTACAAATACTCTCTTTTATTGGAAATTCTATCTTATGGAGCTGCTGCAAGGGAAAGATCCAAAACTCCATATATTCCTTTTGTAACCTCTAATAAATGAAATTCAAGAGAACGGGAGTGCTGATCAAGGAACGTTTAGCAAAAAAAAAAAAAACAAACCAAAGACAATGCTACAATCTGGTAAGTAAAAAAAATATGCTGAATGTTTATCTTCTCCTAATCAGCTTGCAAACAGCTCCTAGGACAACCTGTGCAGCTCCTTCAATGTACCCAATCTTAATTATTATTACAGAATGCCACTGTATTTTTCGTGAGCAACTTCAGAAATCCTTGCCTCAGAAAGATAGAAAAATACCATATTTTTTCAGAGTATAAGATGCACCTTAGTTTTGGGGGAGGAAAATATGAAAAAAAAAATTCTGCCTCTGCCTATCAGCATCCATGGGTATTCATCTGGCTAGCGTCCTGTCAGTGTGTGAGACTGTTTGGAAAGTATTTGCTGTGTGAGCAACAAGGAAGGAGAAAGCAAGGAGCCTGGGCGTGGCTTAGCTCAACTGTTCTAAAGCCGCATGCTGTACTGATCTCTGAAACTGAAACTGAAACTCCTCTCCTCTGCTTGTGTTTTGCTTGTTGCTGCAAACTCTGAGTCCTTGGAGCAAATAGCGAACAGTCAGGTCAACTTCAGCACATTATTGCAGCCTGATTCAGCACGAGCAGCTGATTGGCGGGTGGATTGGCTCCCGGAACACCTCCAATCAGCTGTTCCAGGCTGTAGGGATTGCCACAGACCATCGTCTCCTCCATGCCTCACATTTTTGGATACATTCGGTGTATAAGACGCACCCAAATTTTCATCCTCTTTTAGGGGGGGAAAAGTGTCTTATACTCAAAAAAATACAGTACGTCGGTATTTATATTTAGAAGCAGAAACCACTTTGACCGCAGGCAAATACTATACCTTCAAGCTCATCAATTTTTTTTGGCGAAAACTTTCAGCTGCTTTTTCAGTTTCCGAACCGTCTTGTCCTGTTTCTCCATCTGTTCCAATAAATCCTACCCAACAAAATTGAGGACAAAACGGGTGAGAGGCTAAAAAGGACCAGAAAAGCAACAGACAAAACAGAAACCGGTGCTGTTAAGTGCCATAAGAGAAAACTCAGGACAGCTGGAAGGCAGTGCCACCATCTGGCTAATATTGGCAAGCCTGCGCATGGCCTAAATGCTATATAAAAATCTTGCTTTTTAAGAGAGAGAGACTGAAATGCATGCAGCATGACAGAGGATTTGTGTGACCTCATTCAAGAGATGCAACAGATCCAGTATACTGGTTTCTGGCAGTTTCTCTCCCACAGGGCTAAGGAAATGGAGCACCTGGTAGTCATCATGAAACCTTCAGGAACATTTGGCAGACTTCAGGCCTGCTCCTATTCTGAATAGATTTGCTGAGACAAAAATAATCTGGTCCTTTCCATATTTTTTTTTAATCGTAAGGTTAGTGATGTTCCACTGGAAATTGCAGTGGAAAAGCAGACCCATAAGAGAGAATTCAGTAAAAAGGATGCTCTTTTATGCCCATTTTTTCACGTCTCACTTGATCTTCCCAACATCCAGCCATGCTTCCTGGGGATTCTGCATGCTGCAGCCTCCCAAGACTTCTGGAGGGTCATCGCTTGGGGGAAAGTACTCCAAGATTCCCTCCAAGGTATGGCATGAAAATTAGTGAGCTGCAGATGCTTTGTTGGGATTCGTGTACATGTTGCAACTAACAGAAAACACATCTAATTTGGTGCTTTTTTTAAACAAAAAAAGAAAAGAAAAGAGAACAATTACATAAGGCCTTAGAACAGGGCTGTCAAACTCCTGGCCCACGGCCCATACATCACGCGCTGGCCATACCCACGCCCGGTTTAGCGAAGGGGGGGGGGAAAGTCCCGATAGGTCACATGACACTGCTGTGATGCCATGAGTTTGACACCCCTGCCTTAGAACTTCCAAAACACAAAAGAACCTCAGAGGACCCAACACAATCCTTCAAAATGAGGCCTGAAGTTCAGCTTGGAAAGCCATGGCTATGTCTTCAAAGCCTCAACAAATCTCCTTTCTTTGTCCTCTTCCCCGAAACCTTGGAAGTACAGCTGGGTTTTTCGGACTACCGAGTTATGAAAAGCCCTTACCAGGTTTTCATTGGTCAGACGGGTGATTTCATGCTGCAGACTGGCTTCGATCCGGGCTTCTGGGGGCAGCTGGAGGTTCTGGGCCAGCAACTGCTGCTGGCGGTTATTCTCCTCCTTCAGACTCTGGATCTCTCCACGGAGGGCCTCCAGATCATTCTCGTGGCTTCTCTTCTGAGCCTGCAGCTGAGTTTCCAGAAGCCTACAAGAAGCCAATTGAGGAAGGCCAAGAGAGAAAGAAAGGTCAGGAAAAAGCAGAAAAGGCACCAGTTGAAAGACTTTTTCATCACAGATTGGGCATTTCAATTGCTGCTGATAGGAGTAAGCGACCGGTTGATCAAGGAGAGAAAGAAAACCAGAAGAACGTTCTTTAAACCCTTTTGAGTGTCTTGAGGCTGAAACTTTGCTTGACTTGACTATGGAAATTGTGATTCATCCAGGTTGTCCAAAGGGTGCTTTTTTTTTTTTTTTTTTTTTTAAAGTCAACTGGAGTTTGGTTTTCCTCGAAGACGTTTCACCGAACGTCTTCCAAGAAGCTTCTTTGAGAAGCGAAACGTCTTCAAGGAAAAAGGAAGTCCAGTTGCCTTTTGAAAAAGCACCTTGGCTTGAGTGGCTTCACCCATGCAGCAGAATTATGGCTGATCCTGCATGAGCCTGTTTGGGCGTTCGGATTTTCTTTCCAAGGTAGCTGAGCTACAAAACTATTGAGCAGGTACAGTAGATCCTTCTGGAGAGCTGCTTCTCAATCTCAGCAAGTGTAAGAAGCGTGGATTTCCAGCTTCTAGAAGAATTCTCCTCCTAGCAATTCCAGGTGCTGAACTCCACACAAAGCTTAAGACTGCTGTAAATGCTACTTTACAGCCATATCTACTGCAAAGAGGATAATTTGAGGTGGTGGTGGGGAATCTATGGGGCGCTATTGGGAGGGCAGAAAATCCACACTTTCTAACAATTAGTCAACAGGATTGCATATACCAGCTACGCTGAAGTTTATTCAAAATAAATATAATTCGGTTATTGCTACATTTTTTATCATCCTAGACCTAGACAGTATTTCGATTTTCTGTCTCAAACACCTAACATCTTAGACTAACGCTGGTCCCTAAACCCTAGTGAATTACTAAGTAACCCTAGCCCTTTTAGGGACCTATAACTGGTTTCCTACAAGCAAAAGGGGCAATGAAATTTATTACCATTAAAACGTATCTATTAAGCAGTCCCTATTCTTCGGGATTATTCTGCTCGGAGTGAAACAGAAGTATCCTAACTAAAGAGCCTTGGTAGTACAGTGGTCTAATGCACCCTGTTATTAAGACCAGCTGCCTGCAATTACTGCAGGTTTGAATCTCGCCAGGCTCAAGGTTGACTCAGCCTTCCATCCTTTCTAAGGTAGGTAAATTGAGGACCCAGTTGTCGGGGCAATAAACTGACTTTGTATAAATATACAAAAGGATGAAGGCTATTGCTTAGCGCATTGTAAGCCGCCTTCAGTCTCTGGAGAAGGGCGGCATATAAACCAAATTTTTTTTTTTAAAAAAAAAGCAAAAATGATCCATAAGGATCATAGGCTTTGAAAAATTTTCAGAGCTTTGATTTTAAAAGGGGTATTATTGCAGATCCAAAGGCCCTAAAGAAACTAATAAGAAAAAAAATACTGTGCTACTGATTTGTTGCACAACCTTAGGCGGATGAACCAATGATTGATTCACCTTATGTCAATTGTGGGAGGAAAAGAATAAATAAATACGTACAAAGAATAAATAAACAATCATTATTAATGCTAGCACTGCATTTCCTACAAACGGGTGCATATCTCAACTAGGCTATCTATAATCAGACACAGCCTTTCAGGGTTTAAATATGTCTAAGCAGATCAGCTAAGAGCTACATCGACTAAGCAGGTGAAGGTAAATGTGGATAATTTACCTTTCGTTTCTTTGCCATTTGCTCTAGAACCTTCTAGCAATTCTAGAGCACGGGGACAAGAAACAAAGAAGCTGCAGAGCCACCTCTCCACTGCTTTCCCTGCAGCGTAGACCCCCCCCACCCAAGTTAGCTTCTTGCAAACTTACAAAAAGATGCAGTTAAATGTACATGTTTTGTTAGCAGTACAAGAAAAGGAAAGAGACTGGTTAAGTTGGCATTCTTGGCAAAAGCATTTTGAGTGTTGTTTAGCTGAGCTAAAAATGAAACTTTCATTATCACTCGACTACAAAAATAGCACAAAACAGTAACACTTTAGAGAATATAGGCATATATTTAAAAACTGACTTCCCCATTCTCCAGTAAGTAGATGCGTTCAGTGGCTTTATTTACAGAACAGGGTGCACATACTGTGTTGAGATGATTTTCAAAATGGCCTGAATCTGATTTTTTGGAAATGGTCTGCAGGATAGCTATTTGGAATGACTTAAAGTGACAGGCAAATAATAGGTTTATTCGTATGTTTCATCCTGCTAATCTTAGGACGGGTACTGGACTATGTGTTTTGAACTTTATCTTTCTGTTTTTGGACTCTGCATTCTTTTTGGGAAATCAATATTTAAAGTTTGATTTGCCATCTTTTCTAGCTGACACCAAGATTTTAGGGATTCTCTGAGAAATAGGCCCACCTAATACCCATAAATTGTAGTAGCAGGTACTGTAGTTCCTCTGTCTCCGTTCTCTATTAAATATTTTGATGGAAATCATCCAGACAGTGAAGCCAGTGGAACAAGCTAAAAAAAATTCTTTCCAAATAAAGAAACAAAATTCCACAGGAGAAGAATGTGTTACCGTATTTTTCGGAGTATAAGACACACCGGAATATAAGACGCAGCTTAGTTTTTGGGGAGGAAAATAGGAAAAAAAAAACCTGCCTACCAAGTATTCATCTGGCTAGCATCCTTCATCTGGTCAGCTTCAGCACATTAGTTTGCTGTTTTTTATCCCCTGCTTGGGGATAAACAACAGCTTCTAAAGCACAGCTGATCTTTGGAGAGAGAAGCAATGAAAAAAGCAGGCAAACCACAGAGATCGCTTCACTCGCTAGCGCCTCGTTAGGGCTGGAAAAAAACTTCACAGTTGAGAGTCGGAGGGAGCAGGCAAAGCACGGAAGATCACTTCACTGAAAAAAAGCTTCTAAAGCACAGCTGAAAGTCAGAGGTAAATTACTTCACTCGCTAGCGCGTTAGGGGTGAAAAAAAACTTCACAGCTAAGAGTAGGAGGGAGCCGGGAAAGATCGCTTCACTGAAAAAAAGCTTCTAAAGCACAGCTGAGAGTCGGAGGTAGATCTAGCAATTCCTTAGGGCTGGAAAAAAGCTTCAAAAAAGCTACATCCGGAGTATAAATCGCACCCAAATTTTCAGCCTCTTTTAGGAGGGAAAAAAGTGTGTCTTATACTCCAAAAAATTCCAGAACAACAAAATTGGTCTTCTTCTTCCCATCTAGCAGAAAGCATGGACAGATTTTGCATTTACTGGCTGTGATGGACTTCTTTCCATCATATCCTCACTTGTCCTTTCCTGATGAAGTTTCCAACTTATAAATGAACTCTGTCTCTACTTTTTAAATTTTTACACATGCCAGGAGATGCCTAGAGACATCGATCCTAATACTGGACTTCTTTCTAATATGAGGCTTAGATGCCCAAAGCCATATTGATCTGAGCAGTATATAACTCTTGTTGACACATAAATAAATGCATTCTCTTCTTTTTTTTCCTTTAACAAACACATTTGGATCGAATGTAATTGCCAAAAGCAGCTCCACAGCATGTTAGTGACACAAGAAAGCAAGAAAGAATGCAAATTAAAACAACACCCCCATCCTGAGAAATCTTGTAACCTGTTGGCTTGTTTTAGCCCTTCATATACCAGCCACAGTTCGCCATCCTCGTTCAGCAAATGACAGTCTTGAGGAGATGATCTTCCAAGCAAAATGTTTTTTTTTTAAATGCAGAAACAAAAACAAAAATAAAAGGGACACGTGATGGAAATGATGGGACATGCTAAGTAAAAGGACAATGCAAGCGGAAGAGTGTAATTAGGGGACAAAAGAAGTATCTTTTTTTTGGTCTCAGTAAATATAATTCCAAGCTGTTTAACTCAACCAATCTTGTACAAATTTATTGAGAATCAAACCCCAAGATCCTAATACCTAACTAAATCTACTGATTTCACTGGGACTTGCTCCAATGTGAATATAGAACTATACAGTAGTAGACAAAATTGTGGAAAGCTTTTGGGAAAAGTGCATTTTTGAGGTTTAATGGCTAAGAACACCACTTTTTTTTTTTTTTTTTTTTTTTGAGTTTCAAGATAATCCTATTCCACTGCTGGAATGGCCTGGGAATAGCCCAGACCTTCACCCAATTGAAAATCTATGGAGCCGACTAAAGAAACTTGTTAGTCAGAAGCGACCCAGCAATCAAACCCAGTTAATAGAAGCAATCCTTCAATCTTGGTTTCACATTATGACAGCTGCAATACTAAAAGACTTGGTTCACTCTATGGGAAAATGTCGTAAGGCCGTAATTCATGCTAAAGGTTACCCAACTAAGCATTAACTGACATGGTGATAATTTTTGTATATATCATTTTTTCTATGTGTTTTACTTTTCTTCTTTATACTGTAACTGCTGTTCTAAAAGCAAATCCTTCATAAAAGTTATTGCATTACATTCTTGATTAAATTATCTTTCCATAGATATATAATTTTATGGTACCACTCCAAAAAAAAGTGGTGTTATTAGTTTTAGAAAATACACTTTTCCCAAAAGGTTTCCACAATTTTGGCCACTACTGTATATTGCTTCTATTACTATAGAAGTAATGCAGTTGTAAAAGATAACCTGGGGGCAATCCAGATGATAAGATGTGTTCAGATAAGGCTGCTTTATTCTAGATTCATTAAACCCAAACAAATAAGCCACATTCTCATTATATCCAGATCAGGATTTTACACAGCACAAATAACTGAGGAAGGGAAGAATCTTCTCAGATTTATTTATTCACTCTGACAGGAGGCCAATGTAATATTTCTGGGCAATGATGCCAATCAGAAAGTATTTTCACTGCTGTTCTGCCTAAGGGCAGGTCTGATACTGCAACTAAAGTATGTAGGGCACTGGCAAGAGGAAGTGCCAGTGCCCTACATTATCTACCAGCTTCCTTCCATCCCTGGAACAATTTTGTATTTTAAAAAGCCCCCCCCCCCACTTTATAAGAAGAATGCTGAGAGATGAAAACCAAGGCATAGAATTAAGCTGTATTTTCATACGAGGGTTTAGCAAATTTCAGAACGTTGTATCAAAACCACAAAAGGCTTTTCAAACATCTAATTCAAGCTTATTTAAGATTTATTTTCCTATGAAAGCTGAAGGCACTAAAACCATCTTGCCCTTTAGAGAGATTCATACTAAGGGACCCAAAATGTGTACGTTTAAAAAAAATCAAGATTTATGGAGTAAGCTGGAGATGTGTAAAAGGTTTTGAATTCAAAATACCCTGTTTGGAGCTTGAAGCGACTCTCCCATATTCAAGACGGGCTGTTATGATAATTTTGGAAGTGGTTTAGGGCTCAGGTTATTATATCTGAAGTTACAAGCACTTCCAAATGCGCTGTTTCAAATACAAGAAGGGGCTTTTCAAATTCAAAGCAGTTCAACAATTGAAATGTTCTGTACATCCCATAGGAGTGGAGAGGAGGAGGAGGAGGAGGAGGAGGAGGAGGAGGAGGAGGAGGAGGAGGAGGAAGAGGAGGAGAGACAGAAAGACACAGAGAGAAAAAAAATAGAGATAATGATTAATGTTGGGAGATAACAGTTCAAGATTTTCAGTCATGTACCTGTTTGTCTCCTTCAGTCCAATATAAGCTTGAGCGATCTCTCCTTTGTCCTTCAACTTCTGAACATCTTCCAGAAGAATTGTAGAGTCTGTCATGGTATTCTGGAAATAATCAATGGGAGAACAAATGAGAACGATTCAATAGTACATGCTTTAAGTACAGGCTTGTCTCAGCAGCTAATAAACTGTGATACAATCATTATTTAGTTATCATTAATGTAAGACTTGTCTACGCTGCTCTTCCAGAGGAGTTGCTAAAGCAATTTGCTCTAAGTGGGTTGCACCAACATCAAGAAGTGGCTTGAGTCCAAATCTTAATTGAGTCATGAACTTCCCAAGCTGATCTTTGGCCGAGCCATGCACTCTGTCTCAATTACATATCCCAGGGCTGTTTCAAAGCTGTGACAGATACAGCAGCACAATAAAAAAAAAAAAGTTTCTTGATGTAGGAGAAAAGATGGCAGAACCGGGGGTGGAGTGAAAAGGAGGAATCAGCCTAGAATGCCTATGTAGTCACAAGAGAACTAAGTTCAACCCAGGGGTGAAATCCAAAATTTTTCCCTACCGGTTCTATAGGCGTGGCTTGATGGGTGTGGCAAGGGAAGGATATTGCAGAATCTCCATTCCCATCCCACTCTGGGGCCAGCCAGAGGTGGCATTTGCTGGTTCTCCGAACTACTCAAAATTTCCGCTACCGGTTCTCCAGAACCTGTTAGAACCTGCTGGATTTCACCCCTGGTTCAACCCCCTCCCCCTCGAGTGCTGCAGACCCTTACTTAACTCTTAGCAGGTATTGACTATTAGTTGGGAAGATTCCTGCGCATAGGCTTTGAGCAATAAATCAGTTTAATTGAATCTTTGGGTGTGGACCTGATCTTTCTTGTTTAGCTAAAAGGCTATAACAGCCCCTTCTTTTTCTTTTGGATGTTTTTATTTTAGGAAAGCTACTGCCAAAGTAAAAAAATAAATAAATACTACAACTAGAATGTACCGCAGATCAAAATATCCCTTGTTACTTTTATGGGCTCAATTCCGTGGCTTGCTTGAATGCATTACTATGGACGCATGGCAGGTTACAAGGGTTCCAGCATTAAAAATAAAATTATCTGCAGCAACGTTACCTTATCATCCTGGTAATCCGTGTGCAAGCAGGAAAATAAAGAAACAGGCTAGTTATCTAACATACATGCTCATTAATTAAAGCTGATTGATGAATAAATGCAACTGCATCAGCAATTTTTTTTTTAATTTGATTTATATGCCACCCTTCTCCGAAGACTCAGGGCGGCTTACAATGTGTTAAGCAATAGCCTTCATACTTTTATATATTTATACAAAGTCAGCTTATTGCCCCCACAAACTGGGTCCTCAATTTACCTACCTTAGAAAGGATGGAAGGCTGAGTCAGCCTTGAGCCTGGGGAGATTCGAACTGGTGTAATTATAGACAGCTGGATGTTAATTACTGTGCTTTAGTCTGCAGATCTAAACCAGGCTCTTTTGATCTGTTAGCTATCCTAACACGTTTCAAGGGAAATTGTTTCTTGTTGGAAATTGCTAATCTCTAAAACGGGGATCTTGGTAACTTTTAAGACCTGTGGACTTCAACTCCCAGAATTCCCCAGCCAGCATGATTGGCTGGGGAAATCTAGGAGTTGAACTCCATAGATTTTAAAGTTACCAAGGTTGGACATCCTTGCTCTAAAGCTTCAGAAAGGCCATTCCAGATGACTGTGGCAACCAAATGGTAAGGAACTGAGCATGCTACCCCCCCCCCCTTTAACATGCCATAAATTAATACAACAGTTGATGAAGAGCAATGGTTACTCAATGGTGAGAAGGAATAGCTTTCTGCAGTGCAAGAGATTACACACGTAGCCTGCGCCACTAACGAGCTACAGAAGACAATCCATGCTAGTACTTGGTTTGATTCTGGATTGTACTTCGGGAGAAAAAAAGCAATGTAACCTGCCATCGTACTACCTAACATGAACGTGGATGATACAACCAGTTTTGTTTCTAGATCCACCTTGAATGGCACGGCCTCCTTCTGGCTCATCAGCTGAGACCTCAGGATGAGAACTTCCTCCTTGCGGACCTCCAGCTCTTCACTGACGGAGGTCATCTGGTCCAAAAGGACTCTGTATGCTGGGGCACCAGGCATCGTGACATCTGGAGCGCTCTTTTCCATCAGGGCCTTCCTCAACTCGTTCAATTCGTTCTTTAGTTTCTTATTCTCCGACTCAAGCTCTTGACGCTGCGGGGTAGAAGATGGGAGGAAACAATAAAAACAATTGTCCTCCTTTGCCAAGTGTTCTAAGAGAAATCAAGATCAAGGTAAAGAAGCCGATCTTAGTTACTGATGGGTTTGATAAAAGATGTCCCGACCTCAGGGGTGGGATTGAAAAATTTTAGCAACCAGTTCTCTGCCGGTTGCTGGGTAGGTGTGGCCATGGGGGCGTGGCCTAGTCGGCTTCCTGCACCACGGCCGGGGGGGGGGTCATTTTCACCCTCCCCAGGCTCTGGAGACTTTCCTCGAGACTCTGGGAGGGTGAAAATGGCCTCCCCTGGGCTCTGGAGGTCGGAAACGGGCCCATTTCTGGACTTCTGGGACTTCCAGGATGCCCGTTTTTCACCCTCCCAGAGCCTCTGTGCAGGCCCTACACTTACCTGGCATCCAAAACGGGCCGCGTGGAGACTCGCGGGAGAGGTGGGGTGGATGGGGTGCAAGGATAGTCCTTGCAACTATACCGGTTCAGCGAACCAGATTAAAATTAACATCCGATTCGCCCGAACCGGCTGAATCCCACCCCTGCCTGACTTTTATATATTTCACAAACAAAGGTCTACTTTAATCCAGGGGAAACCCCTGGCTTTCCATTAAAGAACTCTATGAATTTGTGGGCTGATGAGGTCAGAAGAGACCTGTCTTTGTGTTTGTATTGTCTGTTTCCCCCCCCACTAAAGGAATGGCAACCAGTTAAAATATTCAGAGTGGAAACACTTAGACCAGGGTTTTTCAAACTTGGCAACTTCAAACTTGGCAACTTCAACTGTGCGGACTTCAATTCCCAGAATTCTCCAGCCAGCCAGGATTCTCAGAGCTGAATCTTAAAGTTGCCAAGTTTGAAAAACAGTGACTTTAAACATGCCTAGAGTGGAAAAGTAGTCTAGAAATGTTGGCACTTCCAGATCCACGGATGGATCACAAATTCCATGTACTTTTGTGAGTGTGCCTCAGGCTAATAATTAAAATGACCAAATCACTACTGGCTTCCAACGTCCACATATGCTTATACTGTAATATGTAGATGAAGCGTTGGGACATTTTTTTAAAAAAAAAGTTCAGTAAATATCATTGAAATCTGTTTTTCTAATTTAGCCTATTTTGGGGAGGGTAACGCACAGGATTCAGGAATTCCAAATACAATACTTTTCACAACCTTAAGCGATTCGTATTCCAGCTCTGCTCCTCTCATCTGAGGTCTTTCTTCCTCCTGGAAAAATTCAAAGCAGAAACAAAAATATTGCACGTTTAGAAACAGAACATTGCAGACCCTATCAAGAAGAAATGAATATTTCAGTGTATTCATTTTTAGATAATTAGTAATGTTTATATAATGTTTAAAGGTTTTAAGAATGGACTGAATTCTACAGGCAAGAGAGAAAAGGTGAGTGATTTTCAAACGGTTACAATTACTAAAAACATCATTGGTAGCTCTGCTGACTGTATCAACAACATTAAGAAAACAGGTAAAAACTAGATTAAGACATCTTTTAAAGTTCGTAAAGTCATGAGACAAAGCACCGTAAGAAAAAATAATAATATTCTGATCTGCTTCTATAACATCAATGGATCAAACCAACAAAAATTAAGGAGTGGACAACTGCAAGAAAGCACTAATTGTGCTTATTTATTTATTTATCGGTTTGATTTATATGCCGCCCTTTTCCGGAGACTCAGGCCAGCTTACAATGCGTTAAGCAATAGCCTTCATACTTTTGTATATACCTGCTTAGTAGGGCTTTCACACCCCACACCCCCCGTAAGCCGTGTTCTTTTTTATACAAAGTCAGCTTATTGCCCTCACAATCCGGGTCCTCATTTTACCTACCTCGAAAGGATGGAAGGCTGAGTCAACCATGAGCCTGGTGAGATTTGAACTTGCAGTAATTGCAGGCAGCTGGTGTTACTTAACAGTGCTTTAGTCTGCTGCGCCACCAAGGCTCTGCTTTGCATGTTCCTTACTTACTTTTGGAATTTTGAGGACTCTTTAGTGCTCTCTGTGCTTGGTTGTTTTCTTGCAGACATTTCATTACCCAGCTAGATAACATCGTCAGGGCTAGAATGGAGGGGGGTTTATGCTAGCCCTTCTAGCACTGATGATGTTACCAAGTTGGGTAATGAAATGTCTGCAAGAAAACAGTCAAGCTCAGAGAGCAACGGGGACCCTTCGTTTCAACCCTGAGCTTCAAATATTCTCTTTTAATTCGGAATTTTCCCCTGGAGAGAATCATGGACCTACTTTCCACCTGCCGAATGGAATATCATTGCTGGCATGGGATCCCAACTGTCACCATCACCTGGACTAGGAGATGTGTGATCTTTTCCACCTTACCTTGGCCTTGGCCCGCAGAACTTGGTCCTCCTTCTTCTCTAGCTCATCCTGCAGGGACTGCTTTTCCATCTCCAGCTCCTTCACTCGTTTTTGCAGTTTGAGGAAGAGAGACATGTCCAACGGTGCCTTTTTCTCACTCGGTTCCTGATTTACAGGGCAAACGGGGAAGGGTGGAGATCAGAAAGTTTCCCAGCTACAGGAAGGAGGGACAGATCTACACGATGTTTGTTACCATGAGGAAAAAGATGAAAGCAGGGGTGAAATGCTCCCGGTTCAGACCGGACCGCCCGATCCGGTAGCGATGGCGGTGGGTGGTTCGGAGAACCGGTAGCAAAAATCCCTGCCCCCCCCCCCCCATGCTCAGCTGAGCCACACAATCATCAGAGGCTTTTTTTTTTTACTTTTAAAAGCATTTTTTCTACAACCTCTTCGGCTGATGAGCGCGTGGCTCAGATGGGATCGTCAAAGGCTTTTAAAAGAAAAAAAACCCCTTTTTCTTCTTTTAAATGCCTCTGACGATCAGGCAACTCTAATTTAAAAAGTATCGGTCCTAAAACTTTTTTTAAAAATGAAACCTAGTTCACAATTTAAGGTCCACAATCAACCTTTGGTTGTCTATGGCTTTCTGCTTTATTTTTATGGAAAGAAAAACAACAGGTTGACAGTTAAGACTCCAATACAAATTATGAACACACCAAGTTCTTGTCTCTTTGTAATATTGAGATGTTTCTAAAGCACAGTTTAAAAATCTGACTCAGCCATCACGCAATTAATACATGGAACATTTCTGGATATTCCAAAATGATCTCCAGAACGGATGAGATGATGACAAAATCTGCATCCTGAGCCAAGGAAACTCACAAACAAATCACAAAAAATTTCCAACCCTACCTCTGTTCCCATTGGAAACTCTTCAGCGTCAGCGAACTCAGAGCTGTAAGTATATTCTGATTCATTGCTGCTATGGGTGGAATCCGTTCTCTTGTGCCCCGGTTTGGAAATAGTCTGGGAAGGGAATGAGCACCAGCATTAACTTGGTGCTTCCATGGGCTAAAAGTTTCCTGCACTTTCATTTTCATCTCTTGAAGGAGAGAGAATTTAGAAAACTTATAGAGGAAAAACCAAGAGTCTTTGATGAATAAAGGCAGATGGAGAAGCAGCAAGAAGAAAGAAGATGCAGGATGCCCTCTTTATTCACTACGTTCACAATTTAATTGAGAGAGAGAGAGAAAGAAAGAAAGATAGAAAGATAGAAATAGAGATAGATAGGTAGGTAGATAGATTATAGAGATATACCGTATTTTTCTGAGTATAAGACCTACCTTTTCCCCCCTAAAAGGGGGTGAAAATTTGGGTGCGTCTTATACACCAAATGTAGCCCCGCCCACCCACTGGCCCCCACCCTTTGGCCTCTGCTTCCCAGCAATTTACCTCCTTGTAGCAAACAGCAAGAAGAAACAGACCATTTCAGCTTCAGCACAGCCTAATTAGCACAAGTTGACTGTCCTTTGGATCGGCCTCCGGACTCTCAGATGTTTCAAGCTGCAGGGATTGCCATTGTCTATTGCTGCGCGGGCTTCTGCTGCTTGCTGCAAGGAGGTTAAATTGCCTCCCAGCAATTTATTTATTTATTTGTTTGTTTGTTCAACTTGTATGCTGCCTTTCTCCGAAGGCTCAAGGCGGCTCCTTGCAGCAAGCAGCAGAGGCCCGCGCAGCAATAGGCAATGGCAATCCCTGCAGCCTGAAACAGCTGGGAGCAGTTTTTTTTTCCTTGTGCCAATCAATCTATGCTGAAAACGAAAATGAAAGTAAAGCAGGCTGTTTGCTGCAATGAGGCAAAATTGCTGGGAGGCAGAGGCAGATTTCTTTTTTTTGCTTTTCTCACCAAAAAAGGTAGGTGCGTCTTATAGTCCGGATCAAGGGAGAGTGAGAGTGAGAGTGAGAGTGAGAGTGAGAGTGAGAGTGAGAGAGAGAGAGAGAGAGAGAGAGAGAGAGAGAGAGAGAGAGATGGATGGGGGGGGAGATAAATTTATAGGCTTCCCATCTTACCTCAAGGTAATTATGCCCATTCCCATTTCTCAGGAGCTATTGGAAAGCATCTGTTCCCAAACCCAAGTCTGATACTGATTTTGGCATCTGGTCCACTCACCTCCATCAGCTTCATCTCATCCTTGAGGTCATCATATCGCTCTTCCAACCGGCTGAATTCTTGGAGCAGATTCTGATACCTCTGCCTTTCGTTGTTCAGGTCTAGGTCCAGTTGCTTTGTCTCCTCGAGATGCTTTTTCTCCATGACCTCTGCAAACAAAAGGAAAAAGAAAAAATCAAAGCAAGATTTCACCCATTGCTTTCTCTCCACAAGGGAGAAATAGGGATTCTTTCCCTATTTCCCAGCATTCCCACATTCAGATCCACAGGCCTACGTAGACACAGAAACTATTTTTTTTTAAAAACCCAGTCAGTAAATTCCTGAGCTGAGCTTACCTGTAATTTCTTTGGCCTGGTTTTGGATGCGGCTATTCAGGTCATCTTTCTCCTTTTTAAGAAGTGTGTTTTGCTCTTTTAGTTCAAGCACCAGCTAAAAAAAAAAAAGAAGTTTTGTAACATTTTGGCCATAAGTTTCTTTCTATATGATTCCAATTAAATTAATTGCTAGTTTATAATGAGGCTGCTGGTATCGTTATCAAAGTCTTATCTATATACAATATTCCACTTAGTCTAGGACAGTGTGCCAGCCGGATCTCCAGCATGGGATTCTCCTTTGATGCATGCTTGCTATCGGCTGCCATAGTAATGGGGAGGAGGGGGCATGGCATTTGGGTTGGGGAAGTGAGCGGGTGAGGTGAAGTCCCATGTGAACCAAAAGGGAGGTTTGCTCTCAAGAATTATTGCGCTGCCGAGTGGAGTTGTTTACACAAAACGATTTTACCTTGTCTGTTTCCTGTTTATAGAGATCCGCCTTTTCTTTGATCGTTTTCTTCTCCGTCTGGATCTGATCCAGCTCTTTCCGCAGCTTGCCGATCTCCTCTTGAAGGCTAATGAGGCGATTGGTGGCATTCTTGGCCTCTTCTTCACTCATCCGAAGCCTCTCTATGTCATTCCGCAGCTTCTCCGTCTCGGAAGTGTAAGTTGCCTCTAAGCTAGTTAGCTTCTCAACCAGGGACCTGGAGTCTCGTGTCTGAACAAAAACCCCAAAGAGTGCAGGTCAATCATCAGAGGACGACAGATACAGGCTAAATATTTATGGATCATCTTGTCTCCTATTAGGAGATGCGCACCATCCCATTCCTATTTTTTCAGTTTGGAAACATAGAAACCTGACGGCAGAAAAAGACCTAGGGATCCATCAAGTCTGTCTTTTGAGTATGAAATAAACATATCTCTATCTCTATCACCTCTGTCTCTTTATCTATCTATCTATCTATCTATCTATCTATCTATCTATCTATCTCTGCTTGCCTGTCCATCCATGTATCCATCCATTCATCTGTCCATCCATGTATCCATCCATCTCTGCTTGCCTGCCTGTCTGACTGTCCATCCATGTATGCATCTATCCATCTGTCCATGTATCCATGTATCCATCCATCCATTGCCTGCCTGACTGTCCATACATGTATCCATGTATCCATGTATCCATCCATCTGTCCATCCATCCATATATCCATCCGTCCATCCAGGTATCCATCCATCCATCCATCCATCCATCCATCCATCCATCCATCCATTTCTGCCTGTCTGACTGTCCATCCATGTATCCATCCATCCATCTCTGCCTGTCTGACTGTCTATCCATGTATCCATGTATCCATGTATCCACCCACCCATGTATCCATCCATCCACGCCACCGTGGCTCATTTAATCCACAGTTGTGCATTCTTTTACCTGGTCGTCAATTTTACGCTGGAGTTGCATAATCTTGTTCTCCATGCCGACGTTGAGTTTCTTGTAGTGCTCTACTGAGCGAGCTTCTATCTTCAGCTTCTTCAGCTCCCTCTTGGCCATCAATCGCCGGAAGCAGCATTGCAGGTAAATAATTGCCTTCAAAGTCCGGTGGTAGCGCAAGCGAGCTAGCCAGCCGCGCACATGTTTTTGGATAATGGTGGCCTTGTGCTCCCAAAGCATCTGCGCATTTAAAAGACAGGTTGAGCATCCTTTTCCTGCATTTTAGATCTCTGATTGACATTCGCTACGGGGGACAATTAATTGACAGCACAGCGAAAGTGAGTTGTGGCTAAGCGAAAAGTTATTAAAATAGAAAACAACAACCCTAAAACTAAGAAGGAAACAATATTTCCTCCCAATTTATAGGGGTAGCTTGCTTTGCCACCCAAGGCGAAATTATAAAATTATTCATGCCATAAATCATAGCCTAAACATTCATATTTTATAAATAACTCAAATAAATATTGCTTCGTTCCAATAGTGATCGACTCAAGTTGATAAATTAAATCAGTTTGGTATTTTTAGTTTGTTCCTACCTCATATGACACTAATACTCAGAATCAATATAAAGCATTTAAACTCCCAAAAGGAATATAGCTATTAGGAAAGATTCAAGATCCTTCATCCATCATGTGACCACAAATTTTGATTTGCTGGCCAAGAACGCCATTCTCGTTCAGGATATCAGGAAAACAATTTAGACAAGGCTGTTTTCTAATAGTACATTAACCAGCCTTTCTCTATTTTCACGTTTAAAGCCCAGTCATCTGAATATTATTTCTTATGCTTGAGTTATATCAGGATACACAACAGCATATTTCCAACTGTTATTATGTCATTGCTCTGTTCAAATGCTCTAGAAATACCTTGATTCGACAGCTACTGCAGGTCCTCAGGCTGACACTAATAATCCCAGCAAATCCAAAGAATATTCAAGTATCCGAAACTTTCCTAAGCGCGTTCGTTTGTTTACAAAACAGCATCTCTAGAGTTGGAACAGTGGAGATCCCTGTGAAACTGTGAGCCTCCCAACATAATCTCATTTAGGAATCTCCTCCGAACAGGTGAGCAGGTGATTCAACTTTTCTTACAGGCTCCGTAATTATTTTCCATACCAGTTTTTATAATCACAAGACAGCTGTTGCAAAAACTTCCACAGGCAAAGAATACGCTATGCAGAACGAAATCATCTTTAATTACCGGAACACCTTGGATGTGTCAGAAGACATGATCCGTCAACACAACTGAACCACCTTTGAAATTCTTGCAAAGCCACAGAGATTCAGAAACGGAAGTTTTTAAAGGCTTTTGCAATCTAACAGAACACGGTGAAATTTCTCCTACAGAATAAGATTCAACTACAAAACAGGGGAGTTGATTTAAATGAGGAGGTATAAGAATCTGTCGAAACCCACTAAATATAATTCTGGATGTCGGTATGTCAGGAGTACAGCTATGTTTTTGTCAACAGCTAACCCCAAAGGATACCGAACAAATTGGAAAAGGATTAGAGAGAATATCTATTATAGGTTATATGATTTGCACATTATGTATTATGGGATATGTAATTTGCAAAGTTTTGCACCACTAATCTTCTTCTCTGTGGGTCTGCAAGGGCCCTGATCTCAATCTTGAGAAATGGACCCACAGAAATAACATTAAAGCATGTATGCGTTCTACCGCATCCTGGAAGAAAGTATTGTGGGATCATAACTTTTGGGGAGGATTCGAAATCGCAGCCAAGACCTTGTCCTTACCTTGTGATACTTCTTCCTGGCAATGTAGCCTCGCAAGTGCGACTGGAGAGTAATGGTAGCTGCTCGGATGTGCCGATACCGTTTGCGGGCAGCATCCATGCGCTGGAATTTCTGGATGATGATGGCAGCTTTGGTTCTTCGTAAGAACTTTGCAAGGCTGAGCAAGAAAATGGGGGAGAGAGGGGAACAGAAATTAATTTATTGTATTGGAATCAGGTGTGAAATGCTCCCGGTTCGGACTGGATCGCCCAACCTGGAAACGATTGAGGCGGGTGGTTCGGAGAACCAGTAGCAAAAATTCCTCTCCCCCCCCCCATTGCCCAGCTGAGCCGCGCAATCATCAGAGGCTTTTTTTTTATTTTTAAAAGCATTTTTTCTACAACCTCTTTGGCCGAAAAAATGCTTTTAAAAGTAAAAAAAAGAGGCTCAGATGGTCGCGCCGCTCAGCTGGAATCATCAGAGGCTTTTAAAAGCATTTTTTCTACAACCACTTCAGCCAAAGAGGTTATAGAAAAAATGTTTTTAAAAGGAAAAGAAGCCTCTGCTGATCAGGCAAGTCAGCTGGGATCGTCAGAGGCTTTAAAAGCATTTTTTTTTTTACAACCTCTTCAAGAGGGTTGCTGGGGGTTCGGGAGAACCTCTAGCTAAGATTCTGTGCAGTTCGGAGAACCCTCAAATTCCACTCCTGGCTGGCCCTGCCCCACCCACCCCACTCCTGCCGGGAGTCCCCACATGGCCCATTTTGGATGCAGGTAAGTAAAAACAGGGCTACCAGAAGTTCAGGAAACAGGCCCGTTTCCGGCCACCAGAGGGCCTCCGGAGCCTGGGGAGGCCGTTTTTGCCCTCTTGGAGACTCAAGGAAAGCCTCCAGAGCCCGAGGACAAAAACACCCCCTCCCGCCATGGTGCAGGAGGCCGACTAGGCCACACCCACCATGGCCATGCCCACCCAGCAACCAGGCAGAGAACCCCTTGCTAAAATTTTTGAAGCCCACCCCTGCATATAGTCTGAATAAATATAATGGCAAGTATGGAAGATCTCGGGGAAGGAAGAGAAGAGATGCTGCCTAGGAAACAGCCAGACAAGAGAAGGGACTTAATGATCAGGGAAAGAAACTTAGGATGGACCTGCTCAAATTGATTAGATGGTTTAAAATGGTGATGGGAAGTGTGTGAGTTCAGACTTGCAGGCTTCTCTTAATGTAGCCTTATAATAAAGCGGAATTAGCTCATAGTTCACGTAGGAGGACTGACAATAGAAGAAAGATAAGGATCTAGCGTTCTATGCTACTCTCTCTCTCCGAGTTTATTTTGTATAAAGACTCAGGAAATTATATTAGATAAAATCTGGCTAATCACACGTTATTTTGGGGGAATGCCAACGATGCAGCAGAGAATTGCATCCTGATGACAGTTCGATTAGAGCATCTAATCATCTAATTGGGCATCAGTCAAAGTGGCCAACCAAACACTTCAAAGGCATTCAAGAAATATCTCTGCGTCCCATAGTTAGGAATTAGTCTTCGCAGCCCTTGAACATAAGACAATACATATGACTAGGAGCTATTAATATACTGTTTTCATTATGTGTTTTTCGGTTTACACCAAGCGTGTAACTAATTTTCATGCCCCTAATCAAACAAAAAATAGTTCATCTACCCTATATTATGCTCCACCGGGCATTCTACAACTTCTTGCTTTCCAAGCAGGCAGCAAAACAGAACGCATGTGTCTTCTGAAATATCCAATGGCCCAGGCCTACCTTTCAATATGTAGCCTATAATAATCTTATTTTCAGGGAAACTGAGCAGATAGCAAGGAATTATTTACACTAGATCAATAATCAAGAAGTAAACAGTACCCCGATCAAGGAACTACCAACTGACACAAACAAGCTAACAATAAACAACAATTTAATCAAGGAACCACTAAGATCACTCCCACTGATACTGACAGGACAAGCTACTAATATATAAAAAGAGAGCAAACCCCACTCCCTTCTAGCGCTGATGATGTTACTTAGTTGGGTAATGAAACGTCTACAAGAAAACAAGCAAGCTCAGAGAGCACCAAGGACTCCACAGTTCAACCCTGAGCTACATATATTCTCTTCTATCAAAACTATTTACAGCACACCATCCTAAGGAAGATCAGCTTACCATCGTGCCTGGTATCCACGGACGTATTTCTGAATGGTGATGGCTGCCTTCCTCATGCGCAGGTACTTCTTTCGCATCAACCACCCCCTGATAGTCTTTTGGATACGGATGCAAGCCGCTCTCAGTTTATCAGCCCTTATTTTTTCCAAATAAGCTACTTGACCAGCCCGGAAAAATATTTTTGTCTTCCCAAACTGGTACTTATCCTTATCCTATTTTCAGAAAAGAAAAGTTTAATCAGTATCGGAACTTGACCCACTTTGCAATATAAATAAAAAGACAAGAGTGGATTCAATAATAGAAGGATTAAAAATATCTTACAAGATCATGAAGATGATGTTATGCAGAAGCAACGGAGTATATTAAAAAAATATTTTTTTAAGGATCAAAATAGCTGGATTGTGCCGTTCTATTTCTTAACACGTCGTGATGATTTCAGATTGTTAAGAAAATTGAGGGTGTTAATTATTCACTCTATGTTAGGGAATTCATTCTAATCACGTGCGGAGTTTCCCAAAAAGCAGGCGGGTTAAACGTATATCAATATACCAAAGTGTCAAAGTTTAAAAGGAAGATTTAATTAGGAATCTAAATTAATTCATCTTCTCTATGGGACATCTAAAGGACTTTTTATCCCATTTAGCTGCCATGGGATGGATGGATTTTCAATCTTATATATGCGCTTACCTGAGACAAGCCCCACTGAATTCAACGTGTGGAGGGAACCATTTCTGCATAAACATATATATGGTTGCTTTGTTAAGTCTCTGATTGTACTTTGATTTCTACACCCCGGGCAAAGGTCAGATTGCACGCGACACATTGGATTTTTCTAATTTGCAGTTCTAACATTTTCCCCAGGAACTGAAAGCAGTTTTGGGGGGGGGATGTGTGATAACTCATTTGCATCAAGATGAAGAAGTCTTCATACGATGCTACCGTATTTTTCGGAGTATAAAATGCACCGGAGTATAAGACGCACCTACCTTTTTTGGTGAGGAAAAGAAGAAAAAGAAATCTCCCCCTGCCTCTGAGCAATTTTGCCTCGTTACAGCTAACAGCCTGCTTTACTTTCAGTTTTGTTTTCAGCATAGCTTGATTAGCACAAAGGGGAAAAAAATCTGCTCCAGCAATTTATCTCTTTGCAGCAAGCAGCAGAGCTCTACGCTAAACAGCTGAGAGCAAATCAGCTGAGAGTCGGGAGGCTGATCCAATCAACTTGTGCTAACTAGGCTGTGCTGAAGCTGAAAAGAGCTGTTTTTTCTTGCTGTTTGCTTGCAAGGATCTAAACTGCTGGGAGGCAGAGGCCAAAGGGTGGGGGCCAGTGGGTGGGCGGGGCTACATTTGGTGTATAAGACGCACCTAAATTTTCGCCCCCTTTTAGGGGGGGGAAAGGTGCGTCTTATACTCTGAAAAATACGGTATTTTCCTGATAAAATGTCCTCCGCCTCCTGTGCTCTTCTTCTTCTTAAGAGGCACATTGGTAGAGGAGACTGGAGACCACATTACTGCTCATCCTTCAAATGACAAGGATCCATCCAGCATGGGCTAACTTTACAGGCATTAAAGCACCATAAATCCATTACCAGAATCAGCTTTTCCAAGACATTCTTGCATGTCTGTTTCCTGTCACTGAGGACATCTTTCTGCTTCATCAGGACACGATAGCGGCTGAAGAATTCTTGATAGGTCCACCTGGTTCCAAGAGGCAAGGTGACATTAGCCAATCAGAAAAGACCTTCAAAATGCAAACTGTATCCCCCCCACATCTGATGCGTGATGTGCTCACCTTGAAGGGAAACCAGCTGCACTGATTCGGATTGTCTCCAGCACACCGCAAGCTCTCAGCTGTTGTACAGTCCGCTTTTCATCAAACCTACATACGAACACACAGCACGGAGTCATTCATGACACAAATGTGATCACAGAACAGAAGTTTTTATTGTGAGGGAAAGGATGAGTTGCCCAAAGAACAGCAAAAATTTGCAAATAAGTTGACTTCCCAAATGGCTCTAGCAGAGATTTGTTGAGCAAAATGTTTGGGTTTTTTTTTCTTCTCTAACACAATGTTGTGGCCCGCCAGCAGCCAGAAGAGCTGGCAGCAGCTTCGGACAGTGAGGAGGTTGGGGAGGAAGTTGGGCCAGTCCTGGAGTCTGGGGAAGGCTCTGATGAAGGCTCTGCATCGGAGGCAGAGAGAGGGCCAGGGCCGGATGCCAGTTATCTTCTGCCTTCAGAGTCAGACATCAGTGGGGCAGAAGAACAGTTGGAGCCTGTTCCCAGTGTGCGCATGCGCAAAGTTGCCAGATGAAGGGAACAACTAAAGAACAAGGATCGACTTGGGAATAAGGCCACAGGTGGACGATGAATGGCCAGAGGGAATAAAAGAGGAGCGAAAGGGGAGGGAGTTTGTAGTTCGCCTAATTGGTTTGTGACTCTCCGAGGCTCCTTGCCAAGTTTTGAAGATATCGGCCTGGCAGCTCTCCAAGCCAGATGAGGTCTGTGACTGTAAATTCTCCCTTGAAAGACTTGGCTGAAGGTGAATGAGAGGAATTCATTGTTTGTTTAACAAAAGGGGTTTTGTCGGGACCAGGATTCTGCTTCGTGCTTTTTGGGGAAGCCTGGGTCGGAACACACAATATACGTTCAGAGGACAAATACGACAGCATCACAAACTTACATAAATGGAAACTTGAAGTCATTTGGTTTGATACACCGAACGTAATGTGGAGTCGTGGCGTTGAGGGTCTCCATCAAGAGATGCAGAGAATTTCTGAACTATAGGAAAGATCAAAAAGGAGGAAAAAATGTACAAGGAAACCACTGACACATTTTTTCTTTCTTTAGACTGAAACCTCTCCGTGCAGCCATTTCTCACATAAATGACAAGTCATATACTCTACTTTTATTTTTTTTAAGTCAGTCTGCATCTGTATTCGTCACTGAAATAAATCCAGATCAGACCTATGTCATAGTCCAAGAAGTACAGGTAATCCTCGCTTAGTGATTGTTCGAACTTATGACGGACGTCCCCAGAGCTATTTATGAGCCACTTTTGAAGTCCTGATGGCCCCATGGCTGCCCCACATGGCCACAGGATTGAATTTTAGGCACCTGACAAGCAGCTCCTTACAGCATCCCATGGTCACATGACCATGGTTTTCTGTAGGGTTTTTTTTTTTTTTAACAGCATTTCCTTTGTTTCTGGCAAAAAAACACCCACTGGGGAAAATAGGTTCACTTTATGACTGCCACACCTGCTTAACAATCATGGTGCTCGCTTAACAAACCCAGCAGTAAACTGATAATGTGATAACCCACTTAACGACTGCAACAACTTACGACCATAATTCTGGGCTCAATTGCAGTCATTAAGTCAAGAATCCTAAACCCTTCATTGAGCTCTTTGTAAGACTTTACTAGAAAGTGCATCTGCAGTGGCAAACTAATAGCCAAGGAAAGATCATTTTAAAAAGTGGAAGTAGACTGTGGGGGAAAAATTTCACTATTTCTCCACAAAAGGTTACAGAAAATGTTTCTTCTCTCATCCTCCATCGTCACGAGGGACAGCCCTGAGTAATGTGGGGCTGCACAATCCAGAAAAACAGCCCGGAGCAGAGAAAAATGCAATACCGTACTTTTCGGAGTATAAGATGCACTTTTTTCCCCCCAAAAGAGGGTGGAAATGTTGGTGCATCTTATATACCAAATACAGCCATTTTTGGCCTCCCAAAGACCTGCCCTACGCATCCCGTTTTTGCCAAAAACAGGCCCGTTTTTCGCAAAAATGGGATGCGCAGAAGGTTTGGGAGGCCTGCAGAGTGCTCCTGGGGCCTGGGGAGGGCAAAAATGCGACGCATGGGAGGCCAAAAACAGGCCCATTTTATAATACGAATGGCTGTATTCGGTAACTTTTCCTCTTTGGGGGGGGGAAGGAGCCTGCAGAGTGCTCCTGGGGGTTGAGGAGGGCAAAAACGCGACCCGTGGAGCCCAAAAACTGTATCTTTTCTTGTTTTCCTCTTCGAAATCTTGGTGCATCTTATACTCCAGAGTGTCTTATAGTCCAAAAAATACGGTATGTTTCCTTTACCTGATGCCCCACGGTTTTCTTATGTTCCTTGCTTGCTTGGGCTATTTTTGACTTGGCTGGTTTCACGGCCGCTCGAGACAATGGGGTACGACCGGACGGTGTGGCTGAGGTGGGACTGATGGTCTTCTCCACTCGAAACAGCTCAGGCAGCATCTTAAACTGATTCAGACGCAAGAGTTTGTTTAAAAAAGGACACCTTTGAGTTAGGAAAGAGAAAGTTTTTCCCTGAGGTAATGTAATAAAAAGGGGAACCAAAGGCAAAAGAGATTATCCTTCGTGGGTTGGTTTTGTTGCTTTCCAGATGCTTGTAAAAAATACGTTAGTTTAGCTTTGCTTTATAAAGCATGTTGATTTAAATGAGCACAAGAATGTAAGAGTGGCCTTTTCTAGATTAGAGCAATGGCGCAGCTGGCCCAGGAGCCTGTGCCACACGGAGGCCAATCGGAAGCATCTGTAAAGCTTACTGACAAGGAGAACTTGGTGATGCAAGACCTTCTCCACTGTTCCTGCAGAGCAGTTATCTACACTGCTTAACTCACTCCAAGCGTGCTGCAGATACGACATTCCTAATCTCTTAGGCTTGCACCAGAGCAAAAAGTTATTTCAAATCATGCAGCTACAAACAGATCAAGAGAGGCTCTTCCACCAAGTAAATGCTGCAGAAACTGTCCATATGTTGCTCAATCTAACAGTTGTGAAGTTTGACACCTAGTACTTCTCGCTCCTATTTCTTTTGCCTTGTGAATTGTGAGAAAAATTGGCACCTTCACTGAAATACAGGTGTCAGGTTCCAACAGATGCCTTAATTAAATCATGAGCCTTGAGCTAAGCTTCAAAAGAAATCTAGTTATTTATTAGAAGCTTCATGTTGGCACATTCCAAGTGAAGCCAACTCTGACCTCATGTAATTTACACCCCAATCATGACCCTGTTTCCCCCCTCCCCCCAGGGTGTCATCAATCCCATTCGCCTCCATGTGATCACTCCCCTCCAGCCACTGTAACCCTGGGAGACAGCCTTGAGAGAGATATGTCTGGAATGTCCTTTTGTTTTTGGCTGCCATGCTGCTTTGTCAGTTTAAATAAATAAATAACTTTATTGTCATTGTACGTGTGTACACAGTATACCCATACAACGAAATTTATTTAACACCCAAAGACCAAGTCCAACACACATAACAATCCCCAAACACACTCCCACCCACCACAATTCTCCACTCCTAAACCACCCAAACATCCACACAACAGACCAAGTAAAACTGTCCAACAGCTCACTGATGGTGGCCTTTTAGTTCATTGTTGAGTGCAATTATAGCTCTGGGATAAAAACTATTCAGAAAATGTGTGGCCCAAGTTTTAATCCCCCTTGCTTATGGAAACTTGAGAACAGGCCAGGGATGCTTTGCAAGTTGACAACAGGACAATTTTCCATTAAAGAAGAGATTACAGGGGAAGAGAATTATTTTCAAATGCCTAGAAGTCTGTAAACTTCCAAGAAAGGTAACCCAAATCAGACAAGGAGGAGGAAAGTACGCTTCCTTTCTGATTTTTAATTATGTACTCAAGTTTCCTATAATATGATCAAAAAGGAGTAGACTGTCATATTGTACCTATTCATTGCTGTAACTGGTTAGAATACATCCTGCTCTTCTCTAGGGGCTGAAATCAGAAACGATGACGAAAATTCAGTCTTTATAGGATTGTGATGGTTAAGTGAAGTGGCAGGGAGGATCATTTCAACACTAACCTTACTTGATTTGAGAACATTGATCTGTTCTTCATAGACAGTATCTTTGTTTTTTTTCCAAAAATCCTTCACACTGGTACTCCACCTGGAAATGCAAATATCCAATTTTACCAAACAATGGTTGTAGCATAATTAGTATGGGATCAGTGGCCCAGAAAGATAGGGTATACCCAGATAAGCACAAAAGTCTTCTGTTTTATGAGATTTCCAATTTCAGATTTAAATCTGTAAGCTTTGCCAATGTTTCCGACTGCGGTAGTTAATAAAGGAAGCCATCGTACCCAACGCAAAGCATACTCGCTTGGTTGAATTGCTTGCTAAGCATTTTCTGCCAAAAGAATTCCTCCCAATAACAACTACAAAAAGATCTTTTGATAGACCAAGCCAAGTACAAGAAAAAAGTAATATCCACATCATCAGCCAGGAAACAAAATCCTTTACCTTATCTGCAAAGTGTTGAATTATAAAAGCTTTGTTGGACAATCGAGGTTTCTCAAAAAGTGCCGTCTTATTTAAGTGGGTATTGTACAATTTCTGGGCCCAGCTGTTGTCTGAACCTTTAGGCATCTAGAGAAGGGAAAGAGGGGGAGGTGACTTCACATTTCTGGTGGGAACACAGCCACGAGGGGGGGGGGGGGGGGGGGGGGGAAACAGTAGTAACAGAAAAGGTGCCCTTGCGAAAGGAAGAGATATTCCCTTTTTTTCCTGTGCAGGAATTTTGTAACATTTTTAATTGGCTTTTTAGTGCTGCCCACAGGGGAGACATGCACCCCTTTCTATCCCGGAGAGTTTAGCAAAAAGAGACACATGAAATGACCCCGGGCAAAACTCAAGCTACTGAAATTCAAAATTCAAATCTTTATTGTCACTGCACAACATAGGTACAATGAGATTGGTGGAGCTCCCTCAGTGCAGCACCCCCAACACAATACAACTCACAGTGAAGACAAACAAATCCCTAACCCAATAAATCATATTAACAAAACACCCAGTCCTATTGCACCAGTGTGAACATGTTACACATTGCGCCGGCCCTGCAGTCCCATCATACTACGTAGTTATGATGTTATTTCTCATTCAGGGGTCTGACAGCCCACGGATAAAAACTGTTCTTCAGCCTGTTCGCCGATGGTAGGAGGGTAAAGAAGTGATGACCAGGGTGAGAGCCATCCCCATACTGCGTTCAAATAATGGGAATGGAAGCTTATGGAAGCTGTGGATTGGCAGGAGCCATGCGACTCACGGAACATACCATCAGGTAAATTGTGCCGAACAAGATGAAAAAGACATCTCACTAAACCGGTGAGGATATAAATGGGAATTTATTTATTTATTTTTATTTTTTAAATTTGATTTATATGCCGCCCTTCTCCGGAGACTCAGGGCGGCTTACAATGTGCTCAGCAATAGCCTTCATCCTTTTGTATATTTATACAAAGTCAGCTTATTGCCCCCACAAACTGGGTCCTCAATTTACTTACCTTAGAAAGGATGGAAGGCTGAGTCAACCTTGAGCCTTGGCGAGATTCGAACCTGCAGTAATTGCAGGTTAACTCTTTCTGCTTTGCTTTTCTGCGGAAATTCTTCTACAGGGAAATCTGGACTGACCTACCTTGCATTCCTCATCCAGCAAATCCAGAATTCCCAGTTTGGCCTCGATGAGATTAATGCAGGGCTGATTGTCGTAGAAATCAATCAAGGTCCAAGGAATTTGTTCCCTCATGTATTCTTCTTGCTCCAACTTAAAGACGTGCTGTGGGCGAGGGCGGAATATGGATCATCAGGGCGAGATTACGGTACTGACTTTGCATTTTGTGTTTTTTCCTGGGGCTTTAACGCTGATACAGAAATTGAAACGGACAGCCAGTTTTGCCAGATGCAACAGATTAACACAGCTATCCCTCTAGAAAATGATAAAGACTTTCTTCTGAACCACTAATCCAGAAAATCTGATTATTAAGTGGATAATTAAGCCGTGGGTGGAGAGCATTACACCAAAAAACCCAAGTTTCTTACTTACCATATTGAACTGCTGCTGTAATTTCTCATTGGCGTAATTTATACAGAATTGTTCAAAGCTGTTGATCTCAAATGTTTCAAACCTGAAAAATAAAATCAACTTTCAGCGTATCTTCAAGTATTCAACGAACCCGTGGCAAGGCTGACGTGTAAAAGCTTCAACTGAATTATTTCAGCTGTCCCGAATATATGTTTAAATGTATTAGGATAAAGAATGAATAATTAAAAAATAAAAGAGAATAAATATGAGTAAAAAAAAAGAAAAATTAGAATTTGAGGGTGAATGAAGATGTTGGTTATATAAATAAACATAGAAATATTAAGATATGATCAAAAAACTTGGAAAGAGATTTTGGCAGAAACTGTAACTAAGTAAAATGTATTTGGATATGATAAGTTGTATAAGATATGATATGGCCAATACTCTGTTCATAAAATATGCAGGTGAATTTCAATAAAACCAATAAAACTTGATTAAAAATATATATATTTCAGCTGTATTAAAATGGAAAGGAATGGCAAGACCAAAACAAACAAACAAAAAATATTTACCCAATGTCTACCTTCCTTCCGGGGGGGGGGGGGGGAAACGGTTCTTCTCGATGTAAGCTATTTTGTTTTGTCTGTTATGTAACCTGATTCTATGAAACTTCAAGATATTGTTTTAGATAAATCTATCAATGAAGGAAAATAGTTGTAGCTCAAGGTTGAATCTATCATTTTTTTACTATACCACTTGAAATCATTACGATGGTACCGAAACTGGATAAAAATACTGAGACGGAAACCACTCACCCATAAATGTCCAATACGCCAATGAAAGAATGTTGTTTCACAGTGGACTGCAAAGCTTTGTTCACATGATCTACAATCCAGGTAAAAAGGTTTGCGTAGATATGCTTCGCAAGAGCATCTCTAGCATTGATAGCCTGCAGCTTGGAAATTGGCTTGATGTAGGTCTCTGTGGCAGTAGCAAGCTTTTTGTGGCAAAGCCAGTGCGACATCTGTTCATATTCCACTCCCATGAGATCGCAGAAGATCCTGAGGGGTTCGTGTTTAGGCTACAAGGACAATAAGAGTTGAAAACAACATGTATTCCTAACAATTCCTCAGATTATCAACTGTACAGCTTTAACTGGGAGGAGTGTCAGGGTATGAAGAGTTAATAGCTGTAAGCTGATGAGAGGTTGTAAGCAGAGGCAACCAGAAGCTAATGCAATGGGACTGAGGCAGCAGAGTTACTGCCACTTTAAGAAGCTGGGTAAGAAGCTGCCTATATAAGGGAAGCCATTAGAGGGCGTTTTCTTCTTCGTGTATCAGTAGCTGTATGATAAAGGTATTTAACCATGTATAAGTCTGCAAATATTTAGCTGTATATAAAACCACTGTTATTTATCTAAAGGCTCTGTGTGCTGTGTGCTGTGTTTTGCTCCTGGGATTATCTCATAATACTAGCTTTGCTGCCTACATTCTGACATAGTCATCTATATATTTTCAAACAGCCAAAATCCCCCCTACCATCATCATCTTGTTTTAACGAACCCATAATCCCTTGTGGGGTGGAGTCGGAATGGAGCTGAGTGTTTATTGGCCAGATACCCTTCCTGTCGCCAGTGCGGAGCTTTGTTCAGCAGATATATTTCTCATTGTGCCCAGAGAGAGAAATATCTGCCTCTACCTAGGATCGAACTCACAGGCTCCTGATTGTGAGGTGAGAACTCCACCCCTAGACCACCGCACCACTCAAAATCCCCCCCCCCACCATGCCTTAGATTTAAAGAGAAAGTCTTTCCAATTGGAAAGATGGACTCTGAAGCAAAATGAGAAGGAATCTAAAAAGAAAACAAAAATAGAAGAGATGGAGGAAATGCGTCTTATCTTATCTCCATTTTGGCAAGACAACTACCACACAAATACACAAGGAAGAGTAGGGAGGTTAGCAATATTAATAGGATCGAGAATATCTAAAGTTTTGGAACTTACAGGTATTGTGCAGCTGTCAGCATCTCGAGATGTGAAGGACACATTGCCCAAGTGAAGAATAGCAGCAAGGATTTGGAAAATTCCCATCTGACAGGAATCAACAATGCCTGTTGTATTGGGGAGGGGAAGATTTAAAAAAAAAGTTGCCTTGATTAACAACAACCTATTAAGTACCTAAACAAGAACGATACAAGGTATAATTAATAATAAGGTAACAATTCATCACTGAGTGAGGTGGTCACCCTTTTATTTTTTTACCAAAAAGGCAAGAACTTACAGCCACATCCAGTATTCAGACTGCAGACTCCCACTTGTAAGAGATGCAAACAGGCTTTTTTTATCATTATAAACTATAAATGTTCCTATGTATCTACATTTGTTGTTGTTGTTAGTTGCAGAAGTTGTGTCTGACCCATCACGACCCCATGGACAGCGTTTCTCCAGGCCTTCCTGTCCTCTACCATCCTCTGGAGTCCATTTAAGCTCACGCTGACTGCTTCAGTGACTCCATCCAGCCACCTCGTTCTCTGCCGTCCCTTTCTTCTTTTGCCCTCCATCGTTCCCAGCATTAGGCTCTTCTCCAGTGAGTCCTTCCTTCTCATTAAGTGGCCAAAGTATTTTGAGTTTCATCTTCAGGATCTGGCCTTCTAAAGAGCAGTCAGGGTTGATCTCCTCTAGGACTGACCGGTTGGATCGCCTTGTAGTCCAAGGGACTCGCAGGAGTCTTCTCCAGCACCAGAGTTCGAAGGCCTCCATTCTTTGGCGCTCAGCCTTCCTTATGGTCCAACTTTCACAGCCATCCATTGCAACTGGGAAAACCGTAGCCTTGACTATACACACTTTTGTTGGGAGGGTGATGTCTCTACTTTATAAGCCCCCCCTTAATATTTGCCTTCTTACAAATGGTTTTTATGCTAATGTCATCACATTATTGAATAATTAAAGTAGACCACTGCAGCATTTTTACAATTCAAAGCAATGCACCAATACTTTCATAAATGCGTATTTTTATCCACCGACAAGGCATATGCGCTCGGTGAAAGAATTGTGAATTTTGCACCAAGCAATAAATACGACAGCCTTACAGTGCTTCAAATCTTGTTTTTCTCAGAAAGTCAGCTGCACAGAAAGCCAAGCTATTTGTCACTGAAACAGACATCTGCTCCTCCTCTATTCCTCTTCGGTGCCTTTGAGATGTCAAATAGTAGTTAGCAAGCTCTCCGGAACAATTTGCATTTTGCAAACTATTATGCTCTGTAAGTGGAACCTTCTCTTAAGCAGCTATTTACCCTTTTAGGTTTTTTTTGCAAATAATAATATGCAACATTGGGTTAGTTATCCTAAGTGAAGCAACTTGAAGAGTTGCGTGCTTACCCAAAAGAGTGCAAGCCCGTCGAGTGTTAAGCATTTCCTTAGCGTCATCAATTCCGTCAATTACTGGGCTTCCCCCTTGTTTTGTATAGTGAAAATAGCCTGCATTCCCTATTTGAACAAAAACAAGATTGAAATGTACTTGAATATTAATAGCTTGGGTTGGTAACAGTGATGGGTTGCTACTGGTAGCGGTGGCTGGAGGCTCCGCCCACCCGCCCGGATGCTTCTGTGCAGGCGCAGAAGCGCTGCGTGCCTGTGTGGGCGCACGTGCACCCACGAGCAAACTGGTAGCAACAAGATTTGAAACCCACTACTGGTTGGTAGGGCTGTTGGTTTGAGCTCCGAACTTGGCAATTGGGTTGCAAATGTTTCATCACCATTCGAGGAGACATCGTCGGTGCGCTTTGAATTGTACTCCTCTGACCAGCACAATTCAAAGCGCACTGACGAAGACTCCTCGAATGGCGACAAAACGTTTGCAACCCAATTGCCAAGCTCGGAGCTCAAAACCAACAGCCCAAAAACAATATTATTTTTTATAACAAAACGCACTTCAAAATGCTGTTACGACTTTCATGCAACAGTCAAGTAACTGCAGCCAAGCAAATTGACTAGTTGTTCATTATTAAGAATTTATGCCCCTTGCTTTGAAGGCTGAAATTATTAAAAAAAATAAAAATTAAACTAGACTCTCCTGGAATCAAACCCAATTTATGTTCAAAGTTCAAAATCAGAGATCCGATGCAGTCAGAGGGATCAAGCAAATAACGATTTCTCTTAAATTATTACTGGTAAAATGTTGATAATATGATAGCACTGGGTGCACATGGTAGATAGATGGTCATTAATAGATAATAAAAGTACTTCGGTAAATGCCAAAATGTGGTACAACTGATACCGTTACATACCCAACCGCAAAGCTTTAAATTCAGGCAATGCCGCAGAAGCACAAAGCTGATAGAAGATATGGTAATTTCTCTCTTCTTCCGCCTTTAATGCAAACAGATTATATTTGACATGAACTAGCACGTCAGTGCTGACTCTTAGCAACCATACAGACAGCTGTCTCCAGGAACAAATGAATTACACACAAATACATACACAGAAATAGTATATACAATGGATGAATTTCTGTATGACACATACTATACTATCCTGAGAAAGTTTTGACTAAAACAACCCATAATTTGCTCCCTTCTGATTTCTTCCAGTGGTTCTTGAGACTCCCTCCGGAACAATAGATGTACAGATACCGTATTTTTCAGAGTATAAGACGCACCGGAGTATAAAACGCACCGGAGTATAAGACGCACCTACCTTTTTTGGTGAGGAAAAGAAGAAAAAGAAATCTGCCTCTGAGCAATCTTGCCTTGTTGCAGCAAACAGCAAATAGCCTGCTTTACTTTCATTTTCGTTTTCAGCATAGCTTGATTAGCACAAGGAAAAAAAAAATCTGCTCCAGCAATTTACCTCTTTGCAGCAAGCAGCAGAGCCCTGCGCAAAACAGCTGAGAGCAAATCAGCTGAGAGTTGGGAGGCCGATCCAATCAATTTGTGCTAATTAGGCTAAGCTGAAGCTGAAAGGAGCTGTTTTTTCTTGCTGTTTGCTTGCAAGGAGGTAACTGCTGCGAGGCAGAGGCCAAAGGGTGGGGGCCAGTGGGTGGGCAGGGCTACATTCAGCGTATAAGATGCACCTAAAATTTCACCCCCTTTTTGGGGGGAAAAAGGTGCATCTTATACTCCGAAAAATATGGTACCGTTCTTCCTTAAATTAACCATTTCCACTCTAGATTGCAGTGAGGAAAATCAAACAACATCCCACTCCAGGTGTAACCCATCAGATGCAAAGTTTTATTCCCCAACTCATCCATTATGCAACTTCAAAATAAGGTGGAATCCACTTTACCTGGAATACCACTCTCGATTTTTCTAGGAGGTAAGTTCTCATGTTAGCCCCTGTGATTCGATACCGCTTATCGAAACCGATTTCAATGTACTTCCCAAAGCGACTGCTATTGTCGTTTCTTGTGGTTTTAGCGTTGCCAATAGACTGTAGAGAAGGAAAGAGGACAGGATCAGAAATCTTTTTTTTAAAAAAAAAAAACAGTCCCATTATAAACGGCACCTTAAGAAATGCTTCTTTCTCACACACATGGGAAGAAGATGCCTCTTGTAAGATTAGGGTTTTCTGAGAACACATGTGCATATCCAAAAAGAAAGACAGACTACATCATGCTTGAGAATTATTCTTTTAACAATTGCCGATTTTTAATCATATTTAAAAGCGAGGCCTCTACCCCTAATTCAGGGGTCAGCAAACTTAAAACACTCAAAGAGCCACAAAGGTCCTAACCGGAAGCCCCCGTTCAATTCTGGAGCTGACCGGAAGTTCGGTTCCTCCACCATAGAGTCTCCTACCGCGACATCCTTTTTCCCCTGCCGACTGGAAGTCTGGTTCCCCCAACCATAGAATCTCCCCAGCACGATGTCCTTTTTCCCCTGCCACCCAGAAGTCCGGTTCCTTCTACCATAGAGTCTCCTAGCGCAACGTCCTTTTTCCCCTGCCGCCCAGAAGTCCGGTTCCTCCCACCAGAGTCTCCTAGCGTGGCGTCCTTTTCCCCCTGCCGCTGGGAAGTCCAGTTCCCCCACCATAGAGTCTCCTAGTACGGCGTCCTTTTTCCTCTACCTGTCCTAACCAAAAGCCCTATCAATTGTGGAGCTGACCGGCGACAGGGAACCGCAGCAGAGGGATGAAAGAGCCACATGCAGCTCCAGAGCCACGGGTTGCCGACCCCTGCCCTAATGTAATCTATACCATGTCTCCGGTTAGCATATTCACATGCATACAATATTACTAGACACAAGCAGATCTATTTTGTGTGGGCACAGAGAATTGTTTTACTAAAAACTGTGTACAAGGTAAGTATACACTACCCCAACAGACCTTCTTTCAGAAAATGCATCCATATATTTTTGTTAACAATAACTGCATGTTAGTGACAGTGCAGCCTACACTCACAAACATGGGCTATTTCATTCTAAGATTGAATCAGAGGTTTTGTTGGAGACTGAGGGTGGAGGATAACAATGATTGCATTTGTACATCACCAGGGATGTAGTGAAGGGATTTGCATAGGGTCAAAAAATAAATATTAATGCATGTTTTAAATTATGATGGCTCGGGATTTTTGAGAGTTGAAGTCCGCAGGTCTTAAAGTTGCCATAGTTGCTCACCCCTGCCCTATCAGGTCAGGAATCTTTATACACCTAGAAGGAAAAGTGAAAATGCACACACGGCATGCCTATTGGTTAGTATACATTTTTACTAATCGTTACTCAGTGAAGTTGCTTGCAAATTCCACACAGCACAGCAAACCAGGCAGAATTACCTGAGCTCTGAATACATCAAAAACACCTCTGACAAAGTTGCATTAGGGCCACCTCCACTTTTGGTTTTGAGTTTCAAGAAATGCTTAAAACAAGAAAAAAATAGATTTTGAAACATTCAAGAAAAAGGGGACGCTGGATTTGTCAGTAGATCTCCTGAATATTCTGCATCTGGTATGTATATCATCAGGGAGAATGTATGTATGTATGTATGTATGTATGTATGTATGTATGTATGTATGTATGTATTTTTCTTCAGCGGAGTATTTTCCTACCGTAAACCAAGTTTTTAGCCATAGCTCAGTGAAATCACATCCACTATCTTAGGCTTCTTCAGACAGCAAGCTAGCATTTTGCTGCCTATTGGGAGACTAATATAGATCTATCATCTTCAGGCTGGTGTATGTAAATCCTTTATCTTTCCCTCCCCATCCATTTCTCTTTTTCCTTATATTTTCCAACATTTTCCTGTTTTCCTTCACAAACTGTTAGCCCCTAAAATTTTAAATCAGTTATCTGATATACAATCCAGTATGATTGAAGCAGTAAAAGGGAAACAAGTCATCCAGAGAACAAAATTGCTCTCTAATTTTTCGTTGTTTTTTTTTTTAAAAAAAAACATATTTTGGTCTTACCTCCATTATAGGATTAGAAGCTAACACTTTCTCTTCAACATTAGCTTCACTTGCAGACCCGCTCACGGTGGCGAAGTATCTCATGGCATACTTGGCAGACACGGTTTTCCCGGCTCCTGATTCCCCACTTACAATGATGGACTGGTTCCGTTCATCTCTGAAATAGAAGCAAAAATCATTTAACAGAGTAACAGAGATGGAAAGGGACCTTGGAGGTCTTCTAGCCCAACCCCCCCCTGCTCAAGCAGGAAACCCTGTAACTCAGGGGTTCTCAAACGTTTTAAACAGGGGGCCAATTCACGGTCCCTCAGACTGTTGGGGGACTGGACCTGCTGGGTGAGCATGGCTAGGTGGTCATGTGACTGAGTGGGTGTGGCTAGGTGGTCATGTGCAGTGGTGGGTTCCTCCCGGTTCCGCCGAGCCGGTAGCAGTGACGATATGACCAGCCAGGTAGGGGCTGGCTATCGTCTGCATCTGCCTCTCCCTGAGAGCTGGCTTATTGCTTTCCTTTGCTCTCCTCTCCTCTCCTTTCTGCGCATACACACATCTGGGATAGGCCCCATTCTGTTCCTCCCCCTCACTCAGCTCAGGCCCCGAAGACAGCTGTCTCTCCACCTGGGGGAGGACGGAAGGCCCTGGCTCTGCCTCTGATGCTGTTTCCTTATCAGAGCCTTCCAAAGGCTCCGAAGCTGCCCCTCATCTGAGTCTGCTGCCAACTCTGCTGGCAGCCGACGGGCCACAACAACTATATTTATCATGACAACAACCCCTTTCGTTCCACAAAGCTAGTTGGTGAAAAGCCAACACACCCATCCCACAAACCTGGCCATCTGTTTGTATGCCTCCTCAGCCACAGCAAAGATGTGGGGGTCCATGTCCCCCATATTTTGGCCACTGTAGGCATTGATAATGTCTTCGCCATAGATAGGCAGCTGCTCGTAAGGATTGATAGCAACTAAAACTATACCTGAAACAAAATAATAACAAAGACAGGGAAAAGCAGTGGAATTAATTCAGGAAAGATTTCGCCCATGTTGAACTGCAACCACCACAATAATAAAGTATTTCCCCTTACACTTTGTCAGTGCATGGGCTAAATGATGTAGCTGATATCATACAGAATGTAATTTGAGTGGTCATCTGTAGGAGACTGGGCTTCCAGTGTGAGTCATGGTGTTCATCTCCATGAACGAGGAATGACTATTACGAAGAATGAAGGACCGGCAGGTAGACCAGTCCTTCAACGGAGTGAACAGGAGATCACCCACAAGTGCGCTGAACGCCAACTCCACACAAGGAGACCATAAAAGAGTAGTTCCCCATGGATTTGAATGCCAGGAGCCAAAATCTATATTCTCAGCACCAACAGAGCCTTTGATAAGGACACTTTAGTAAGGATACTAAGCTCTAACTCACTTTCTAAAAACATTTGGAAATGTTCAATTTAACAACTTTATGGATATTCGAGACCTTCAAAATAGTGGATTTAATTAGATACCTGATTTTACTTTCTCTGAATTTAAAAAAAAATTAAATGGGGTTTTAAGAATTCAAAATAATATACAGTTTGCAAAAAAGCAAAAAGATTAAGTTCTAAACAGATTGGGAGACCAGAGAGATTTGGAATATTGGTTATTTTTGCTGTAAGATTTGAAAAACAGGTATGTTTTTCATTATACTATATAAATATAGATCATTATACTAGAGAGAGATAACTAAAAAAGAACTAAACCCATATGAGGAGGCTCGGTGAAGGTTGCTAATGAACACTAGAGGGAACTAAAGGACCAGGCAGGAAAGAATTGAAATGGCTAAACTGGTTATTGGAAATATAAACGACAAATCAAGAAGACTTGTAAAGAACAGAACGGGAATAGTAATCTATAGAGAAGGGAAAAGGCATATGAAAACCTTAGTTAAATTATAGAAAGTTTATTAAACAAACTCTGCTTAAATCTCTTCCTAATTCTCATGCATTTTTAAGATGTTCCCATTTTTTAGAAGAACTTCCCTTGTTGCACCAACTTTCAAGAAACTGATGAAAGATCTATAACTGTGTCACAGATGCACACACACTGCATGCACAGATCATCCCAACAACTGAAAACATAGATGTGTCATGTGACTTTGCTCAATAATCACGCAGTAAAAGTTTAAAATAGCATCTACAAATTTAGGTAAGCTTCATGCCTGAGTATATGTGACAGTTATCGTGTCTAATCTACAAACTTACTTGATACCAACCCATGCCAAGACTGGAAAAACGCAATCATTGCATAATTGCGGTTTTATGCAACCAGCGAAGATATAGAGGTTTCACGATTTTAAAAATAAACTCAGGCCCCCATAGTTGTGAAAGAAATACTATATTTTTTTTCAGAACTGCAATTTTTTTTTATTCTTGGCCTAGAACGGGCCACTTTCCTACCAACACTAATGAGGAATAACATGAAAGAGACTTCAGAGGATCTGTGCTTACCACAATATGTATAAATGAGTTTTGAGTCTATAAATCGAACTTTGAGATTGTGGAGAACAGCAGGTTCATGAAGATAGCTGAGTGCTGTCAGGTCATTTTCACCCACAAGTATATCTGGATTTCGCAGGGGTGGTAGGTCCTTAGATTTAGCATCAAGTTTATATTCAATATCCTAACAAAAATAACATAAATTACATTTGGAGAACATTTTGTAGTTTTTTTTCCACAACGTTCTTTAGGTATGTGAATTAAAAAGAAACTTTTAATTCACACATCTAAGAGAGAGATCCTAAAGATATAAAGTTTTTCTATAGCAGCTTACAAACTTTTTTCTCAAGTTGGTTGTTATGGTTTATACCGTTTCCCCCAAAATAAGACATCCCCTGATAATAAGCCCAATTGGGCTTTTGAGCGCATGGCAATAAGACCAAGCGCTTATTTCAGGGTTCAAAAAAATATAAGACAGGGTCTTATTTTCGGGGAAACAAGGTAGGTAGTACATAAAGAATAGAATAGAATAGAAATTCTTTATTGACAAAGTGCGATTGGACACATAAGGAATTTATCTTGGTGCATAAAAGAAAAGATACGAATGTAACTTTTCTTTTATTTACTCTGAGAGCATATGCTCTCTGAGTAAATAAAAGAAAAGATACATTCGTCAAGAATCATAAGGTACAACACTTAATGATAGTCATAGGGAAACAGTCAATATAAATCTTAAAGATACCAACAACAAGGTTACAGTCATATAGTCATAAGTGGGAGGAGATGAATGATAGGAACCATGAGAAGATTAATAGTAATGCAGACTTAGCAGATAGTTTGACAGAGTTGTGGGAATTATTTGTTTAGCAGAGTGATGGCGTTTGGGAAAAAACTGTTCTTGTGTCTAGTTGTTCTGGTGTGCAGTGCTCTATAGCCTTGTTTTGAGAGTAGGAGCTGAAACAGTTTATGTCCAGGATGCGAGGGGTCTGTAGATATTTTCACAGCCCTCTTTTTGACTCGTGCAGTAGACAGGTCCTCCATGGAAGGCAGGTTGTAGCAATTGCTTTTTCCGCAGTTCTAATTATCCTCTGAAGTCTGTGTCTGTCTTGTTGAGTTGCAGAACCAAACCAGACAGTTATAGAGGTGCAGATGAGAGTCTCAATAATTCCTCTGTAGTACTCTTTTAATAAAGTACTCTTTTAATGGTTTTTATTTTATTTTTTTTACTTTATTTTAGGGATACTTTAAAGCCAACTGGAAGACTTTGGTAGCAGGTGATGCAAATTCCAAATAAATAGGGTCATATCATAAAACCAAAGAATTCAGAATCAAAGTATAACAAACCTTGCTAAATATAAGGGTAAAATTAACATTACCTTGCCATCCTCAAGTCGAAGATGCAGGACTTTGTCTCCTGGTTTATAATCTTTCAAAAGTTCTGCCGACTTCCACACTAGTTCTGAATCAGGTATCCAAATCCTCGCATACTAAAACAAAAAAACAAAACAAAAAAACAATTACAACAGTTAACTGGTTTTGAAGGAATTTAAAATAGGAGCATAACCACACTTATCAACCAACATTTGCAGCTCCTCTCTCAAGTCAATATTATGTATTTCTGATCTTCTTCTTCCTTAATTAATACCAAATTTGGGCTCTCCACTGGCTGGGCAAAACTCCATTTTAGGTCCTCATTTTCCAGAGAAATCCCTTTAAAAGATTCCATCTTTCTCTTACCAAACTCAGAGTTACATCTCCCCCTCAAGCTCAGTTTGCAAAAAAACTGAACAAGAATGTGTTGGACTGCATAGTAGATAAGTGAAGTCCACAACGAAATACATCCACCCCATCCAAAAGGTGAATCAGTTAAAGCCCCAGCAAATATTAGCAAAGAAAGGTAGGAGGATAAAGCCCACAGAAGTTCTGAGACAAAAGGCAAAAAAAAAAAAAGGACGGAAATAAAATACATGGCTAGAGAAAATGATAAAGCAACATAAAGATTTAAAGCCAGAAATATTTTTAAGTATTTCGCCAGAAATATATAATAAGGGGAATATACCGTCTTTCCCCGAAAATTTGACCTTGTCTTATATTTTTTTGAACCCTGAAATAAGCGCTTGGCCTTATTGCCATGCACTCAAAAGCCCGATTGGGCTTATTATCAGGGGATGTCTTATTTTGGGGGAAACGGTATATTTAATATTGCATGTTTTGAAGGCAGCAAGAATTGCACAATATTGGAAAAATGAGGAAACTCCTCCAGATGAAAATATAATCAAAAAAAATATTAGACTGTGCGGAAATGGATAGGTTAACATTAAAAATAAAGTATAAAGACGACACAGAATATTTTTTAATTTGAGATTTGTTTTACCAATGGCTAGATAATAAAAATAGAAATTAAAAATCGGAAGAATGCTATTATATATAAGCAAAGAATATTGCCATCACTATTATTATGTATATATAAAATGACCCAGACAATATACTGTTTATTAAATACTTATATATATTAAAGAAAAATGTACAAATAAAAATAATTTTTAAAAAGAAGATCCAAGACCTTTCATTCTTTCTATTTATTAATGGATGTTAAAACTCTTTGTAGCTAAAAGGAATAGACCCGAGGTGGCGCAGTGGTTAGAGTGCAGTACTGCAGCTATTTTAGCTGACTGCTAGTTCAGATCAGCGGATCAAATCTCACTGGCTCAAGGTTGACTCAGCCTTCCATCCTTCCGAGGTGGGTAAAATGAGGATCCAGATTGTTGGGGGCAATATGCTATTTAGTATACTGTCTTTGATGTAAGCCACCCAGAGTCCTCGGAGAGTGGGCGGCATAGAAATATGACAGACAAACAAACAAACAAACAAACAAACAAACAAACAAATAAATAAATAAATAGAATAACAGCATTGGAAGGAACCTTGGAGGTCTTCTAGTCCAACCCCCTGCTTAGGCAGGAAACCCTACACCACTTCAAGCAAATGGTTATCCAATCTCTTCTTAAAAACTTCCAGTGTCGGAGCATTTACAACTTCTGGAGGCAAGTTGTTCCACTGATTAATTGTTCTGTCAGGAAATTTCTCCTTAGTTCTAAGTTGCTTCCCTCACTGATTAGTTTCCACCCATTGCTTTTTGTCCTGCCCTCAGGGGCTTTGGAAAATAGTACCTGTATAGTACAGGTTTACTGAAATATGTCTTAACCAGTTTGGAATACTGAAGCTGACATCCCCTAAATTCCGCTGAAGATGTTGTCTAGCCTGGTAACGAAACATTAGGAAACCAATTCACAAGCTCGGAGAATAAACCTTCACCCTTATTGCACACCGGAGCTACAGATATCCGCCACTACTGCATATGTCTTAACCTTCTGGGAATTTTGAAACATAGAAGGCAGTAGGGAACAAAGAACTTAAAACCTTTCTAAAAGAAATTGCAGCTCATGCTGTTACAGATTTTCCGCTTGCTGTGTGCCATTAAAAAAACCCCAAAAGCTTAATTACTATGGGCTACACAGACTTTACAAATTACGGTACTTGGCATTCAAGGCAGTCTTATTTACCTACCTATAGGATCAATATCACATCTAACAATCCTAGGAAAAGAATATGAATGTGGCAAGTCACATTTTCTTTTTAACGTAGTTGTTTTTCTTTGTCACCAAAGATAAAATACAGAACAGGAAAACTGTCTATGGAGATTCTCAGTCATCCAAGTCATGGTTGTTCCAAAGGTGTATAGAAAGTTAGCACCCACCCGTCTCCTAGAAGAATGAAATATTTTAGGAAATATTAAAAAAGGCTGAATATTATATTTCCCTGGATGAGAAATGGAGAAACATGTTTTAAAGACAAAGCAGCTTCCTGCCTCCCCCCACTTTTGTCAATGGACCATCATCTGCAACACAATAGGACCCATCTAGCAACAGAAACTCACCACATGGCACCTGGGGAGATTACATCAGCCAGCAAGGCTAGCTAAGACCCCCACCCCCTGGGAGTCTGACAACCAATCAGGATACTTTTTCTGGGCCCCAGAAGTTCAAAGCCAGAGAGGGTATAAAACCCAGGGAATCGCAGCATCTTGGCCCCTTTTCTGCTCAGGAACTCAAACCATGTGATCCTGTCCACCATTAAACCATCTTTCCAAGCAGTCTCCATGTTTCTAGTGTCTTTTTCCCCACTTGGAGCTGAACCTAGAAGGATATTTCTTCCAACAGGTGCTTTTTCAAGAGACAACTGGACTTTCTTGTTTCCTGAGGATACAGACAAACCTCCAAGTGGCCTCAATGACTCTAAAAGGATGCAAATGACCAGCTGTCTGCAAGGAATATAAACCCTTCCATTCCCCACCATCCAGTCAGAGCTGAAGAAGCTTCTTGGATGACAAGTGAAAAGTCTTCAAAGAAAAACCAGAAAGTTGAAAAAGCACCTTTGGGATAACCATGAACCTGGATGACTGAGAATCTCAATAGACAGTTTTCCCGTTATGTATTTTATCTTTGGTTGACAAAAGAAAAATAAATATGTTAAGAAGAGAAGGTGACTTGCCACATTCATATTATGACTTGCCACAAGAGTCTTTAGGACAAAACGGGGGGGGGGAGGAATAAGGAGCCTTTGTGGAGCAGTGGACTAAAGCGCTGTTAAATAGCACTTAGCTGTCAGCTGCCTGCAATTACTGCAAGTTCGAATCTCACCAGGTATCAAGGTTGACTCAGCCTTCCATCCTTCCGAGGTAGGTAAAATGAGGACCTGGTTTGTGGGGGCAATAAGCTGACTTTGTATAAAAAAGAACACCGCTTGGGGGGGGCGAAAGCCCTACTAAGCAGGTATATACAAAAGTATGAAGGCTATTGCTTAACGCATTGTAAACCGCCCTGAGTCTCCGGAGAAGGGCGGCATATAAATCGAACTAATAAATAAATAAATAAATAAATAAATAAATAAATAAATAAATACAATAAAATGCACGTGGGGCCTTATATCTCTGTCTCGAAATCCTGCTCTCTTGGACCATTGCTAATATTAATTGCCAATCCCATTCTCACCAATAATCTAAGGTAATGTTTCTCAATCTTAGCTACCTCAAGATGTGTGGACTTCAATTCCCAGAATTCCCCAGCCAGCATATGGTGGCTGGGGAATTCTGGGAGCTGAAGTCCACACATCTTGAAGTGGACAAGGTTGAGAAGCACTGCTCTAATGCCACAACATTGGAATCTTGTGCATCTCTGCTGGGAAAACCACGACATCAACCAGTTGCAACAACAAGGACCAAGGGAAGACATCTCCATAGAAACCAGACAACCAAAACCCACTGCGCCCACTACATGAGATATTTAAAGGAATAAGGTCTGCCATCAACAGATGCTCACGGTGTGTGAGTTTGATCACCTGGGTTCCTGCGTTAATATTCCTCTAAATAATTAAGCTGCAGGAGTTGGCTGAGTTGTAATTGTTCTCTTTTTTCACCTGAATTTCAACCAATGCCACCTAAGAGAATCAAACTTGGGTTTATATATTGTTGCCTATACTGCACGCAGCTTGCTTGGGTAGCAATGTCCTGCAAAGGATCCGTGAAATATTTGCTTCAAAACCTGAGAAATAGTTGTAGAAATATTTTTAATATTGTTTTACTTTTATCCTACCATTTTTATATGCTTGTAATTCAAGGTGGTTCATGACCAAATAGCCATTAAATAGAACAAATTTTCCCCTCAGACTTTAATCTGGTCTGCAATAGAAAAGAAAACCAATATTTATTCCTCTGAAAATCATCTACTCCTCAAAAAATTGGAAGACTTTCCTTTAAAAAGTGAAAAAAATGAAAAAAACCCACTTGTTTTAAGATAACATCCACTAGAAGTTTAAGAAGTCACTTCAAGGAACTTCAATTTCGTAATTGGCAGAAATATCAGACAGGCTTGAAAAACTCTTTAAGTTATCTCATGGAAAGAATAACTTGATATAAGTAATACACAGAGGGATTTTCCCCCCCCAAAATAATTAAATGGCATCTAGTATTCTTCGCTGAACCTTACAAACTCTTGGAACAACCAGACGATGAGACAGCCTTTGAAGTTTTTCAACTGTACACTCATTAAATTTTAATAAAAGGAGGACTGACAGCAGGATTCTGTTCCACCGAAACAACAAGAGTGTTAAAGCAATTTTTTTCTTGCGTTTCAAGATCATATGAGCAAATCACCAGACCAAACTATCTACCAAAACATTCACATCATAAGACTCACTTGAGGCATGCATCTCTCAAAGGCACCAGTGGTGGTAAAAATAGGTATTTTTAAACTCAGAATTGTCAAAAACAGGGTGCAATACGCTTCGCAAATCAACTAAAAAAACCCCCACAGGAGGAGTGTAAGGGCATTGCTAATTTTTTTTAAACATCATTTTGGATTTTAAAAAAGCAACGTTAGTAACAAATGCAACTGAATAATAAAAATTTACCATTTGTACTCAATAATTT